GTAATTATTTTGAACTATTGTCATATACATAATGTGACATCATGGGGACAGGATCTAAGTCTAAATACAAAGTTCATTTGCTTCATGGACCTGAATGGAACACACGGCCTGAATGTAACTTTACACTGCTGTGTACCTCCGTCTTGACTGCAATGCATTACATGAGCTCAGGTGTGGAATTTTCCACTTGCAGTGTCATGCTAGTGTTTGAAATCTCAGATTTTGCAGTATTTCAGATTTATGTTATGAATACTCAACCTGTGTGCATTTAATATTTTTGATGCTTGTGATAGTTGTAGGTAACATTCTCCAGCCCGTTTTGTGGAATTTTATGTCAGTATTCTAGGTTTAAAGTACATTTCTCTACAGGTGACTTATATTTGCTCCTTCCAGCTTCTTGAAGCTACTACCAGGCAAGAGTGACTTTACATTTTTGGGATGAGTGTCCCTACCTACCCTAAAATCACAGAACTGATGTGAACTCTGCCCTTAAACTAGGATAAGAACAAGGCTGATATGTATCATTGGGGATGATTTCCTTTCCCCAACCTGCACCCTTTTCATCCAGAGCCAAGCACATACCCCACTACTAAACTCTGAGGACCTGATTAAATTCTTAGCTCGTGTTTTTTCTTTTTGCGAGGGGGGGGGGTCCTAGGGTCTCACTATGAAGTTCAGGTTGGCCTTGAGCTCACTTTGTATTCCAGGCTGGTCTTGAATTTGCAACAATCCTCCTGCCTTAGCCTCCTGAGTGCTGGGATTATATGCATTTGCCTCCACGCTTAGGTAACAGGTTCGATTTGGGCATTATGCTGTAGTGCTTGGGATAGGCTAATTAGACCTCATTGCAAAAATAGCTCAGTATCACTTTTTTTTTAAACTTATAATACATAAAATTAAAACTGGGCTATGAGATAGCAAAAAACAATTGACCACTATTACTCTCCAAACAAACATGTGTGGTATTTAATCATTTTGGATTTTTTTTGGTGGTGGCTTTGAGGAATTTCCTTACTTATCAAGCTCAGTCATCCATTATTAGGCATTTTTTAAAAACTAGGAATTGAACTCAGGACTTCATGCTTGCCAGGCAGGTGCTGCACCATGGAGCTACGTCTCCAGCCCTTTCCTTGTTCTCTGGGTTTTTACTTTTTTAACCCACTCACGTTAGGGCCATAATTGGTACATTTTGCCAGGCAGCTCTACACCACTGGTGGGACAAGATGGTGAGAATGTGTTAAAATGAGGGGGTGAAGATCACATGCTGAGGATGAAAGGAATAAAGGAGTTCACTAGACACTGGCAGAGATTTGAAAGAGTGAAAATAAGAAAGCAAGTTAGAGAAGCACCAAAGAAGTAATGGTTCCTAGTTGAGTTCATGGCATAGGAAGATTTACTCAAGACTTTCTAGTATCTTAGCCATATAGTAGTCTCAGCATCTGACACCTATCAACCATATCACCCCCCTTTTCTATTTCATAGGGGTTGTGAAGGTAGAGGCTATCAGGTGCTTTATCAATATTAATTCCATAAAATCAAAGACATTATAAATCATGGTTTCTGTGATAAATATGTATCTGATACTCTGACTTCACAGATTTACCCTGCACATATTAGATGTTTAAAATGTTTTCTAGATTTTGTTTTCAGATTGTCATTCAACAGTAGATTCACTGTTGTTCTAGTTGTTAGAAAAGCATACTGTCAATTCATTATAGGTGGTAAACACTGTGAGAAATCACAGAAAGAAACTGTATTAGTTGAGTTGCATGTTAAACTGCCACCAATATTTGGAAGAGTATATTCACTGGCTGGGACAATAATAGCACCCACAAGTGTAACAGTAAGGTTTTTAATCTTAACTGTTTGGGCACTGTTATGAAGTGACCAAATTTTATCCCGGTTAAGCAAAAATTCCAAGGAAAAATTTCATTATTGGTGTTAATGAACTGATTTAGGCATGCACCACAATGCCCCAAAGATAGTATATTAACTCCCATTTTTCCTTCTTTCATATGGCTAATGGTTGAGAGCATCAGATTTATCAATCTGTTTTAAAGACACAAAGTCTGCTCTGGTGAAAGTATAGGGGTGTGACTCCTTTTTTGGTAAAGTTCATGTCCCACTTATCTTGCCAGAAAAAGTGCAATACATTTTTAGATTAGTACACAGTTTTGTCCTCCCAACAATCTGCTCCTAGGAGGTTAAGAATGTATGAGAAGCTGAAAAGCCTAATTGTTTCAGAAAAGGCTCCTTCCCCTTATCTCAATTCCATTCCAGTGCAGTCACCAAAGGAAAGAGTGGGATAGGCAGTTCATAACTTTTCAAAAACCTAAGAACCACCAAACTGTGTCCAAAGTAGTAATAATTAGCTTATTATTTCTAATATTGGTCCATAATTCTTTACGGTGGAGTCCTTAAAATTAGTATCTTTTTAATTAATGGGAAATGAAAATAAATCCTTTAATAAAAGTAAAATGGAATTGTCATTTAATATGACAGTAAAGAGGCAGCTTTGGGTTAAAAAAATATCAGTTATGCTTTATATTTTCAACAGACCTTCCCTACCACGCTGCTACAATATGGCCTCTTTAGAGGAAAAATTCACTAATTCGGAATGCTCAATTGGAAGTGTACTTCATTTACATGGACCTGATATAAAAACATTGAATTTAAATACAGTACTTTTACAAAATTCCTGTGAACTTTTCCTAACAAGGACATTTTAAAAGATACTTCTTTTTAAATAAAATTTCCCAAAAAGTTGAAGTTATTCTTTTAAGTACTGTTTATATTGTATTAGTTTGATTGTAAAATAGCTAAGTAACTCACACCTTTTTTAGGATACTGAAAAAAAAAAAAAGCTTTAGTTCAGCTTCTTCCCATATTTTATTTTCTATATTAACATTTTGCTTTTTCAAAAAAGCACATTGCACACACAGGATTAATAGGGAGACTTTTATTTTTTTGAGGCAAGGGTTTGCTATGTGTTCAAGTTGGCCTCGAACTCAAGGTGCTTATCCTGCCTCAGCCTCCCATGAACTGGGATTACAGGCATGTGTATCACACCTGGAAATGGGAGACTTTTAGACTTTAAATTCTTTAGTAGCATGGAATATTAGCAATAAAAAGCCTAAACCCCTCATGTAGATACTCTATTTTATGCTGGAGGTGCAACTTTTTAAATTTTGAGCTTAAACAGATGCTTTTTTTCTACTGTGATAGAACTCTACTTGGGAAAAACACTGACTGGTACATGGTACAAGAGAATCTTCTTGGTGTTGGGGCTTTGGAAATGCTTTCCAAGATTGTGCACTTCATATGTGTTATATCCCAAGAAGTAAAATGTGTTTAGCCCTTTTACAAAATGCCCACCAGCTATCTTAGAATGTATTAACATCATTTTGTAAGTCAAAACATACAATGTAAAAACCAAATTATCTGATGCTCATAGCATATGGAGTGCTAGTCACCTTAGGTAAATTACCTATTGGAAATTAGAATATGACTTTAGTGATGAGGGTTTGTTATTAGGGATGATGGTAGGAAGAACACAATAATAAAGAAGTGTTATACAATAGTTTCAAAGACAACTAACAGAATACACCCTCAAACAAGAGACATGACTATCACACGGTTACTTGATTTATGATTATTTGTTTTTTATTTGTTTCTTATTGTTTGGGTTTTTGTCATCTATTGCTTGGAATTCCAAAGGATAGGGAAGAAAAAGAAAGTTAATGAGTTTTGTTACTTAACTGCTGCTTTTATTGTGCTAAATAGCTTAAGTTATGATCGTGTGATTTTAAAATTATGCACTGTTTTCTATTTATTAAGGGAGAAAACGAGTTGGTTTATGGAGAAAATATAAACACGCACCCTGCCTCAAATGTTATTTACTTTTCCTTGGAACTGTTAATTCTCATCACCTCCAAAAGCCTTTGAGAGGATTAGCTGCATAGACCCAATATTGTTCTATATTAGTCAGTATTAAGTATGATGTCACCTTGTTTCTTCCCTTTCTCAAGCTTCTCTTTTGAGTGAAAGGGAGACTTTTTTTGAGCAATCTCAAAATAGTGGCTTAAATATCATTAGCTGACACACATGATTGACAACCTTGGACTCTCAAACCTGTTTGAAATGGGTCAAATACCTAAGCGCTGCAGCACAATGCAACCCAACCAGTAATTCCCCATAAAAAAGAAAAGGGGGTGTGATTAGGTTTCAGTTATCAAGCAAGTTATTGCAAAAACAGTTTGGAGGGTTCTGCAGTAAGCACAGGTTAAGCTAGTTATTTTCTCTCTTAATTAGCTCCCAAAAAAGGCTATGCTGTGCGAAGTGGAATAAATCACTAAAGCATAAAACAACTGGGGCAAACATTCAAAGGCTGGATGGAGGTCCCTATAGTGACCCTTTGCATTGGTTATCGATCGTTAACCCTGCTGGGGAACGATCGAAGGGAATTTGTGTGAGGCTTATCGAGCCCACAGGAAGGGAGATACAGGAGGGAATCTAAGCTTCTAATAAAAGAAACGCAGCAACAATAGCAAGGGAACAGCTCTGCCCGGTGACGTAATGGCTGGCAGAGGTCCAGCTTCGGCAGGGCTGCTGCTACCTCAGCATCCAACCTCCCTCAACACAGTCCAGCTTCGGCAGAGCTACCGGGGCTGCTACTTCTTCCGATGCCACTTTTTTTCGGGGGCCACCAACACGCCTTACCTTGGAGGGCCAGCAAGCTGAACAAAGGGTGGTCCGGTTGTTTTAAGTTGGCGGGGCGTGCATACTCTCACTCACACTCCCCCAACCCCGCTCAGTCATCGAGTCAACCATGGGGGGGGGGCTCAAGTTTGGGGCGAAACACTGGCGCACGCTCCGGGCGTGCCTCAGTTTCCCCAACAGTGGTCTCGGGTCCGCCTCTCCCTGCACCGTCCCCGACCCCAAGCCTCAGCGGGAGTTGATCGATCCGAGCGGCCCCGCTACGCCCGGTCCTCCCGCCTTACCTCCGCCAGGTAGAGGTTGAGCAGACAGAGCGTGGAGAACTGGAGGCAGGAGGGGAAGCAGTAGAGTAGCCAGTGCGGGAAGAAGTGCAGGTGAGCAGGCGGCCGGAGCAGGGGCAGCGAGCCGCTGAGTGAGAAGGCAGCGGAGAACAGGGTGGTCCTGAGCGCTGCCCACAGCAGACAGAGGAAGAGGCAGAGGCTCTGGTAACTCAGCCGCCGCTCGCGGTACAGCAGCAGCCGCCACAGCTGCAGGTAGGCAAAGGCGAAGAGCGCGGCGTAGAGGAGGGCGTGCAGGACGCTCAGCCCCAGCTGCACGGAGCCCGGCACCGCGGCGCCCCCGCCGCCACCCCCGGTGCCGCCGCCGCCGCCGGGCGTCAAGGGTTCGCGGCCGGCCGTGGGGTCGACGGCCGGACCCGGCGCGGACACCCTCATGAGGGGCCTGGGGGCCGCGCGAGGGAGCGCGGGAAGCTAGGCGCCGGCCTCCGAGCCGCCGTCGAGGGGGAGAGCGCTAGCCCCCGGGCCCCCCACCCGCCCCAGCCTCCAGCCCCAGCCAGCGCTGTGACAGGACCCGGAACCCCGCGCGGAGCGGCCGCCGCGACTTCCCCTACCCCCCGACCCCGCCTCCTCTTCTCCGCCCCCTCCCTCCGGGGGTCTCGGCTCCTCCTGCGGCTGCGGCTCGGTTCCGTGGCTGCAAAAAACAACTCTCGGCTGGAGACAATCAGCTGAGAAACCCGAGCATTTGAGGCGCTCGCTCCGCACCGTGGGCTCGTGCCGATTGGCTCAGGCCGGCACGCCTCTTGAGCGCCGCACTCGGAAGGCCACTGGCTGTGGGATCTGTCACTCCAGAATCTTGAACTCTAATAGGGCTTCTGCTTTGCCCGCTTTCTCCCCCCTCCCCACTCGCCTCTTAAGCTGCTGATTGGCCCAGCAACTGTTCTGCCCGCTCGCGCCGGCGGGAGGACTTCGTGGTGGTCTGTCACTTGGGGCCGCTCACGCACCGCCCCCCGCGCTTCCCATTGGTTGGAGATTCTTTTACGTAGGAAGCACGAGGAGAAGGCGGAGCTTCGAGGGTTTTGGTTTTCTCTCTTTCTCTCTCTCTCTCTCTCTTTTTTTTTTTTCCAGGAGGCCTGTTCGGCCGGGTGGGTAGTGGCGACTTGCAGCGCGGCCGCTGTCTGGCCTTTGCTTCCGCGCGGGTTCGGTCCAGGTTCCCGCCCGCAGGTGCTGCGCGCAGGTCTCGGGCAGGTAGGTAGTGGTGCCTGTCTTTCAGGCGTGGGCAGCTCTTTTCTCTGGTGAGCGCTGCACTCCCAACCCTGGGTTCTGGGAAGCAAAGAGACCTCGCCTGGATGCTTCCGTGGGGCCCTGTGCTGTCATTGATTTCTCCTGCTGTGCGAGCGAGGGGAGGAAACGAGGGGGCGGAGACCCTTTTTTTCCACCGCTCCGTAAATAACCGTGAAGGACGAGTGCTAAGGAAAAGGACCTGTGGGTCGGAGAAAGTTGGTTGTTTGAAACAGAATTTGGAAAGACGCTTAGGGAATAAGTTTGGGAGGAAAGAAACACAACTGTAAGTCTCTGGTGGTGGTCTAGAGAAGTAGAGTAGTTTCTGTGCAAATTCCACGTGTGTTGACGCCCTAGTCCTATTTTTAGGAGATGGTGGCGCTGTTGCTGGGATTTACAGGGGTACAGTATAAATGGTATATTCTTTTTTCTCCCATCTAGCATCATCATCGAAGGGTCTCTCTCTGTATTTCAGGCTGGCCTTGAACTCACTATGTTATCATCATCATTATCATCATCATTACTATATACCCTAGGCTGGTCTCGAACTGAAGACAACCTCCTGCCTCAGGCTCTGGTGTACTGAGATTACACCATGCCCACCATAAATGTGCACCACCATGCCCAGCATAAATGTTTTATTCCTGTACTGCTGTAAGGAAACAAACTAAAAAACCCTTAGATCTCTCAGTTATATTGTATCAGCACATTTTTGTTGATTTTTAAAATATTTGGTAATAAAATAAGCAGAACAGTGCAGTTAAAGAGGAAATAATCACGGGGTGTTGTGGTTCACACTTGTAGTTCCTGTTGCTCCGGAGACTGAGGCAGGAGAATCACAAGGTCAAGGTCACCTCTGGTGATTTAGAGCCTATTGCAAACATTTTAAACAGGAAGGGAATGTGGTTCAGTGGTAGAGCATTTACCCAACCTGTGGGAGACCAGGGGTTCATTCCCCAGTACTGCAAAAATAAACCAAAAAATAGTTCGTAATTTTAGACTGAACACCTCCACACAGATTTAGTATTCTTGTACATCCAAGATCCAGCCTTTCCTAACTCACTATCCTCACTCCTATGCTTTGTGTCCGAAAGGAACTTTAAAGTCTGCTTTAAGGTCAGATGCTGATGTGGGTTAGGTTCTTTTCTTTATATGCTGACAAACTGATGGATGCATGAGCCTGAGCCTGTTGCCAACAGACCCCTCAGATAAATAGTCAGCTGGGCAGGTTGAGCATTGTGTTGTACAGTAGAGTACAACTTACTGCAAGAAGCTAACAGGCTTAATCCAACATCAGTGCTTTGGAGAAGAATTTCATATTGGACTTTTTACATCATGCATTCTTACAAAATGTGTTCAGCAGTACGGAGTTCTCTTCAAATTGGGGATGGAGTGTACATGACAGCAGTAGGGTAACTGATTGCAGTTGTATGCTTAAGCCTTAAATTAAGCACAAAATCAGTTATGTGATTTTAAGTACTTTTCAAAATTAGTAGTACCACTTATGCTCTGACATGGCCTATATGTGCATGCTCAGTAGTAAGGTTCAAATTTCAGGTCATGAGTAGGAATCACAAAAAGATTCTCTCCCCCAACCCCATCTCTTTTTTTGCTCAGTGATGGTAGTCAACATTGCGTAGTACCTACATCGATTTTACATCTCTGCTTGTGAGACTGTTTTTGTTCATGTGTCAGAGAATTCTGGACAGCCTCTTTCTTTCTTTTTACCTTTTTTTGAGTATAGTGGTACCTCTTCAGTTCACAAACTCAGTTCTCTCCAAGTTGTTGCAAACCATTGGACAAAAACTGAATCAGATTTCCCCATAAGGTCAACATTGAACCTACCCATTGACTTTCATTTGGTTCTCACAACCAGAATCTTGGAAAGAATGAGGTTCACAAACCAAGGTACCACTGTATTGGAGCAGGGGAAACAGATAGAGGATTTGGTTCCTATCTTCTTTGAAGGATTTCAGAACAGAGATTTATTGACTCCTGTTATGATCTGCTCTGACTCATACAGAAGCTGAGATCTAATCAACATTTTATTTGAGGATGGTTTGGTAAGCAAGTTCTGTTCTCCAATAGTATTAAATTGTAAGTAAGCTAATTTTTGATGGAATGTTCTTACAGGAACTCTGTAAGCGTTATATGCTCCATTTGTTGCAAAGTATGAAATGTGTCTTTTCCCAGAGAATGGTGCCCACAGAGCTTGATATAATTTGTTTAGTGATTTTGTTTACCGCTTCTTTTGATAGAGAAAATCATTAATTTTATAGTTGATCATAAAGAAATTTCAGGCCTAAAAAGGAAAAACTCATTAAGGGTTGCCTAGCAAAGCTTGCCACCAGATATGCTAAAATTTAAATATATCCAAATGCACAAAGTTTGAATATTGTTTTTCTGAGCAAGAAGACTACTGTAGCATATTTAAAAGCTGAAGATCTGTATATTATTGTATATAGGACCCAACAACCATTTTTGTCTTAAAGTACTTCCTCCTTTATGCCTCAGGAGAATTTCTTGATATTCTGGTGCTGAACAACAACAAAAAAGCACTTTAGTTCCTATTTGCATTTTACTTGCAAGCATTCTTGCCCATGGTAAGCTGCAAGCCAAGCCTTCTTTCAGTCTTTTAAATGATCTTTGCATGCATGCCTCTGGAAGGCTGAGGTGGGAGAATTACAAGTCTAAGCCCAGCCTAGGCAACTTAGAGACTTTAGTGGGACCCTGTCCCAATAGAAAAAAAAAAAAAAATAATAATAATAATAAAAAGGGCTGGGCACTAACTCAGTATGAAGGGCATGGATTCAGTCCCCAGCCCTGGAGGAGGATAGATCTTTTCAGTTTCATCTTATGTGCAGAATCTGATCAGTGCTTATCATGCAAAAGAATTGAAGGCCCTTCTCCAGGCTGCAGGTTGTCTGTATGTACTATTGGTAAACATGCCATGACACACAGCTGTCTGTGACTTCTTCCTTTTTTTTAATTTTAAAGAGACTAAAACCAAGCAACATAAAACAGAATAAAGCCAATCAAAACAAACCAGTGTAAGTAACAGAACTTTAAAATAAGAGGAAATCAACAGTGGTTACCATAATGTCTTTTATTATTTTCAGAATAGCTGCCCATACCCAGGCATAGTAGCATGAAACAGAATAGAATAGAACCAATACAAAGAAGATAATGAATACAATACAGGACTTCAAAGCAAGATACAAGTGAATCCAAAATGGCTACCATAATATATCTTGTTCTCTTTGGAATAGCTGCCCATGCCATTGGATATAATCAAATCAAACAAAACAATAAAACTCAACCCAACAAAATGATGAAAATGATACAAGACTTCAAAACAAGATGATAGAAGCCTCGAGATTTAGCTCAGTGGTTTAAGTGCCTGCCTGGCAAGCATGGGGTCATAAGTTTGATCGCTGGTACGAAAAACAAATAAGATGATAGGAATTAACAATGGCTACCACACTCGGAAGGAGATCCCCATTAGATGCTACATTGCGTATTGTTACCTCTGAAAAATGATCAGACCACCAGCTTTAGACCTGTAAAGTCAATGAAACATTGAACACTACAGGCATTAAATTGAATTTTACCTCAATAGCTATCATTGCAGTCTGTGTTTCTCCGGATCAGAGAGTTGCTTATGGGGGAGGGGGTTCCCAGCCCACGCACTGGAAGGGGCTGGCATCTGGCTCTTCCCCCAGCAGCCCACTCAGTGCTGATTTTCAGGGAGGGCTTGCTTCTTGATGATTTCTTGTTCTCTTCCCTCACATTATGCAAATGGTGCTGACTCACAGGAAAAGTCTGGGGTCTGGCTCTCCCCCCAGCAGCCCGCACATGGCAAGGATTCGCAAGGCCTCCTTTAGATGTTTCATCAGTTGAAACAGTCAATTGGACTTTAGTCATCTTTCCTCCTAGAATCTTTTTACTGTGTTAGTTTCTTATGAATTCTTTGAAATATCCTACTTTCAGATCTAGAATATGTATTTTATGTTCAAGTACTCTCTTATCTATTAATAAGATGTGATGTGCTATTAGGGTTAGGATAGATTGTATTGTGATAGGAATCTCAAGCCATTAGGATTTTAAAATAAAGTTTAGTTTGAGTTCACACTAAGGTGGAATTTATTTGGCACTTTTGGGCTGACAAGGCTTCATGTTGAATGTTACCAGTCATAGGAGCAGAGGGAAAGCATGTCAAGATTCTCAACTTATGTATTCTGACTTAGCAATTTTCACAAGTTATCACTTTGCATATTTCATTGGCCAAATTAAGCCATGGCCATGCATAACTCGGGGAAGGAAGTGAAGAAGTACTGTATAATTTTAGCATGTATACAGAATTGGAAACATTTGAACAGTTCAGCCTTGGTGTTATCCAGGCACTGTAGAAGCTCAGAGCACAGGATCTTCCAGTACTGTCCATTCATGGCAGTTCTTTACCTGGTCTGGGTATAAGTTATATGTGTTCCACCCCTGTTGAATACATAGAGTAGTATAGAGATCAGTGTTCCTATTTGAAGAAGGATGGGCCATACATATCAGATTCTAGACTGTAGCAATCTATAGGTGTTGCCAGAGGTCTAGTCTTGTTCTCTGAATTCCATAGGCCAGTTTAAAAAAAATCAGTTTTAATATTTAGTAAAGACTGTAAGAGTAAATTGTGAGAAAAGTGAAATAAACAATTTATCACTGTTGCAGTGTTACAGCTGATACATTGTGTCAATGTGAAAAGCTTAGAAATTTAATTAAGAGACTCAGCAGGGAGCCAGGATCCTTGCTTTATAAATATCCCCAGTCTCTGCAAGAGGAGGGCACAGATTTTGTGAGTGCTACACCTGCCCTGGATGGTATAGCCTGTGTACAATATAAGGGAGGAGAAGGGACTTGTTTCCCCCTTTTGTTCTGACTGCTGCCTTGAGGTGTTGCCCTGGTGCCATGCCACTCTGCTTTGGAGCCAGCTGATTATGGACTGAAACCTCCACAAACAGTGAGCTAAATAAATCTTCCCTTCTGTAATTTTGAGTGTCAGCTGTTTTGTCTCAGCAATGAGAGAAAAGTAACTATGACATAGGGACTTAGAGACTGGACCCACAGATTCCCTGTAATTAAAAGCAGGATGAGGCTTGACTTCTTTGTCTTCGTTTTATACATCTCCCTTAGGGCTGCAAACCCTGGAGTTACATTTTTGTTCAGCTCAGCACATAGACTTGTTAATCTCTTAGGTATCTGCATTACAAGGTTGATTAGCCCCAAAATTACCTATCATCTTTTCCCCCTTCAAGATTGAGGATAGAAAATAAGAGCAACTAATTTTTAGAATTTGCAAGGACATCTAAGTGCCAGCCTTAAGACTGGCCAGCTTTCAAACTCCCTGGAGCAATACTTAGAAGTCTCTGGACATTGTCCTAAACTGTGATCACCTGGGATTCTAGGAAAAGCAGAACCTCACAGCTCTCCCCACGATGAGCACCCCCAGCTCCAGTGGGAGCCCTCACCTCCTATTGGACCCAGACTTCCTTCCCACAGCAAGTAGCCTTGCTCTCAGCCTGGGAATTGAATTGTCCTCTCCCCCGACCTCACAGGACCCATCCTGAGATACTGATTGACCAGCCCACAATCTGACCAGGACTACCCATGTATGCTGCCAGCTATGCAAACTCTCAACCCTTGCCTTTGTTTCCTTTTCCTATAAAACCCCGAAGTTTCTACCAGGGGCAGATCTTGAACCACCCTATCTGTACTTCCTAGCGTGGCTGTACAGAATGCACGTCCTCCTTGGTGTGATGGGATGGGTGGCCCATCCTGGTCAGTTGAGCCCCTGGAACTGGGACTTTTGTCCTGGAACTCTGGTAACTACAAGCCTAATTTAAAAATTAGTATTAGATTCAACGGACACAAAATTATGTTTGAAATTGCAATAAAAACTTGTGAGCATACGCTGTTTCTATACTTCATTATTGTAGACCAGTAGCAAATAGTTCTTACCCTGTGCACACCCTAGAGCAGTTTTCTGTGGTCTCTGGCTTGGCCTCATCTGACATCGGCCTTGGGAAGTGCGGCCTCCTTCTAAGGCTGAGCAGTGTGGTCAGCATGCTTATGACCATAGAAGGGTGGGAGCCTGAAGATTTTAAGTTTTAAACAGCTAGTCTCTTGGAAGGCATTTCTTTGAGAATCTTTATTAAAGACCTGCTTACAGGCAATAGCAACCAGCACACAGTACTCCTCTCTTCCAGCTTTTTGTCCTGGTGGTAGGAATCAGTTCATCCACCACAAGAATGAAGCTACACTTTCAGTTGTTTTTGCAACAGTTCTTTCAAATATTTTGTCACCTTTGCAGGTGGGTCACTTGCTGAGCTCTGGTCTCTTGATACACGTTTTCTTGAGTAGGCTCAGAACAGTTTGTGCATTAACAGTTGATGTGCTGCTTGGTCCCTGAGCCAGTATTTTTGAATTTTTGTTAAGAGAACATCCCGTTTATAGTTTCCTAATCAAATCTTCTATATCTGTAGTCTTCTATCTTCTATGAAGATAGACTGGTAACCATTGCCTGGTGGCTTAATAGCACAAGATTTGTTTCTTACTAAATATCACATACCACCTATGGGTTCTTTGTTGGGCTTATGCGACAGAACAGATGCTCTTTTAACTTTTCTGGTGACTGACAGAAGTAAAGCGTGTCATGTCACACTAGCTGTTAAAACCGTTGTGAGAATGAGATAAGCCTCTTCCTCCTGTTTTTTGGGCATGGTGAATCACATGGCACCATGATGACTGGGATGGGAAGGGGAGGAAGGAGGGAAGTAAGTCTTGTATTGCACCTGCCAAGACCTGGAACCCCACCAAGGAATGTCACAGTTGTCCCCAGTTCTACTCATCACTTTGTCTAGGTTTTTGGATTTTTGAAGCATTAAGGATTTCTATTTCCTATTATAATTGTTGGAGAAAAAAGGGACAAGTCAGCAAATACCTTCTGTATCTTTGTTCTTACTTTGTTCATGTTAATTTCCCCATCCCCTTCTCTCTAAAAATCTTTTTAGGAAGAGAATATGTCCCTCGGCCAGTGCATCTTATTTTTCAAGTGTGTAGTGTTTTCTTTTCTAAGGGTGAATTAGATTGAGTAGAACTATAGAAGATTTGATTATATAATAAGAACTTTTAAGATCAAAATGAAAAGGTATGCTGTTTTAAAAACTGGTTGTATAAGGCTTTACAAGTTGGTATTACCAATTTTGACTTCTTTAGAGACAGTTAACTTTCAGCTGTCCATTTTGGCATTGATGTTCCTGTGTCCAATGACTTGGCCTTTGATTTTGTGAAGAATGAAAATTTAGCTTTCATCTTCTTTTTTATTCTAACTGCATGATCCTTACTTGTCTCCTTTCTGTTATCAACTGTGATTGGAATGGTTTTGATTCTAGCTGACCTATGCTATATTTTCTGCTTTGATCAGTTTTTAAAATAATCAAATCTAATCAAGGATAGAACAAGTGCTAATGATTACTACTGAGTTCCTATCTCTACAAGTATATAAGATTAACCATCAATATCTTTAAATGACCGAATGTACAGTACCTTCATATGCATACCTGATTTCATTTGTCCAGTGAGACAGAAGATGTGGTACAGTACTCCAGCATTGGATGTGTGGCTACACTTTTTGGTATATAAAATACATTGTAGAGAAAATGTGTCAACCCTCATATCTAAGTTAGTATTCAAATAATTGAATTGTAACCTCAGGAGAAATATTTTGTATTTGAATCTTTCAATTACGCTTTTACCTAGTTTTTATAGTTTTAATTATAGTTATTTTATATGATAAGGAATGTTATGTAGTTATTCCCTTATCCTTGAGAATGCATGCATTTCCTTCTAGCATATGAAGAAAATAGTGGATGATCTATTTTAAAACATCCCCATTCATATAGAATGACTGTAAAATAGGCTGGTTTGATATGGTTATAATATATAATCAATTATAATGTCAAGGATACCCCTTAATTATATCATTAAAATTACATTTTAATATACCTTGTGAAGTTCTTACTACTCATTTTAGTTTTTGAACATTTGACTCATTATTAAAAATTGATAACAAATTTATTCACTATTTGATGTGAGCTAGCCCTAATGAGTGGAATTATCAGTAAATAATCAATAAGTATCTTTTTTAGCAATACTTGCTTAGTAGTGAGGAGTAATATGTGCTTATTGATAATATTGAATGATCAGAGTAAGAATTCAATTTATTATGATTTTTCCATAAATTTGCCTTTATTATTTTACTTATTGAAAAAATTTACCCTTATTTTTGGTATTTTTTTCTATTCTATTTTGGAAAAATTGTTTGCATTTGAAAGGTATGGTCCTGTTTAAAAAAATTAAAATTCTCATCTATTCTTATATCTTTACCTTCTGCTATATATATTTGTTTGTTTGTTTTTGTTTTTATTTTTGTTTTGAGACATGGTCTTGCTCTGTCATTCAGGCTGGTCTTAAACTCACTATGAAGCCCAGGCTGGCTTTGAACTCCCAAGATTCCTCCTGCCTCAGCCTTCTGAGTGCTGGGATTACAGATGTGTGCTATAATGCCAGGCAGTGTATTTTTATGTTATACTAATTTTCCAAAACTATTTTCTTTTCAGCTTAGATATATAAATCATCAGTAGAAAAATTTACTGAAGTCGTTCAAGAAAAATTTGAAAATAACCAAGAAAAAGAAGATAAAAGTAATAGCAGATACAGAGGGGCAGGATGGGAGTACAGTAGGGAAAAAGATAAGAGGAAGAGATGTAGACCAAAACTGAGTTCAGAAAATAGAGCTGAATTAAAATACGAGTTTAGAAAGATTCACATTTTTAAATGGTATAAAGAAAAGTATTAAGAATTCAAATGTATGTATATTTAGAAAATATGTTCTTACATAGTTTTTAATAGATATTTTCTTGAGATTTAAAATAAAAGATAGTAAACATATTAGACCTATATTTTGGATGTTTCACTCCCATCTTAATTGTATTAAGTAATTGAGTATGTATTGTAAATTAATTGTACGTAGATTAAAAAAAGACCAATTTAAAAAATGGGTTGGACAATATTTGAGAATTACATTTTAGAATTGTAGTAAAAATATTTGTTCCTACCGAAATATTTTTCAGGTACTGTATCTTTGATTTCTCTTGCAATATAAAAAAATTAGCAGTTATCAGATTAATGTCATTATGTCATTCCTTCTCAAGTTTTTACTAAGAAGGAGATAGTAAAGTTCTAGTGAAATTAAATAACATCAGTAATGATTTAACTTTTTTTTTTTTTTTTAGATTTAGCTTCATTTAACGTAGACTTGAACTTTGTGGAACACTTACTTGGAAGTAGGTCTTGTCCTAGGCACTAGGACACAGCGGTGAACAGAAAGACAACGTCTCCCGCTCATGAGCAGCTACCTCTGATAATGCCATTTGACTTCAGTGTGTTTAGAGTTCTGGTCTTTTTTTTCATTATGTGCATTTTGTCCACGTCAGCTGGAGACACCTTGCCAGAACTGAGTCCTCAGAAATATTTCAGTACATTGCAACCAGGAAAAGCCTCTTTAGCTTATTTTTGTCATGCTGGTAGGTATTTTTAAAATCTTCATATGATACTTGCGTTGTTACATGTCTGCTCAGTCAGTAGGCCCAGGGTGGGGGTGGGGTTAACTGTGTGCTGTACGACTGTCACTGTAACCCACCTGCTGGGGTAACCCAGACTCTTCTGTCTGCCCTGCAGCATGACCCTCTTTTGTTCTCTGTTATAAGGAAATAGTATTTATTTTCTAAGTTTGTTGTGAGAATTAAATGAGTTTATTCATATGCTCCATTCATAGTGAGTACAGTATTAGGGAATACTTATTGATACAGCATCTGTATTTCATTTGGTCACCTTTGAAAGTATACTTTCTTATGTTGATTTTTTTTATTTATTGAGACAAAGAAAGTTTCTGTCTGAGAGAGACAGATCGGGTCCCAAGTGTGTTGCCAAGGCCTTTGTCTTTTCCAGGGACTTTTATAGAGTAAAACCATGGGGTGAGTTGGGTATAAGGTGGGACAGAACTAGAGTTAGCCAATAAAATTAATAGTTCAGGTAAACTTGATTACATTAGGAACAAATGGGGAAGCTCAAGTAGAAAGCAGGCATTCTTATGGAGCAGTGACTTTTCCCTAGGAGGATGGGATAGTGATTCCTGACTTCCTCAGAGTGATAGAGACCTATTTAGAATATCAGTCCTAGGGAAGTAGGTGCATTTGTTTGATCTTTTTTCTTGAGGCCTGGCCCACAACAGAACTTGTCTGTTTCTCCCACAAATTGCAAGGTATCTGGGCTTTTGCATTGGCTCCTTTGACGACCTAGACCTGTCTCACTGCCTATAATATTTCAGCTGCCTGCAACAGTCCCCCTTTGTCTGAAGAAGTAACCCAAACTGCTATTAGGGGGTAATGGGCGAGGACCGATCCAGCTCCTTTAGGCTCAAGAGGGTTGTAGTGGTTGAACAGCAGTCAGAGGTTTACATTGTTTTAATTAAACTAGATGAGACAAAGCAATTAAAAACAGTGGGCAGATAGCAAGCAATTGTCACAAGTAGTTATAAACAACTGGCAAAGACAAAGCAAAATTTGAAGCATAAAAACTGTTACCTTAATGAGTCCCAGTCCAGAGTCTATGAAACAAAAGTAAACTCTCACCTCTGTCCAGTGATCTTGGTGGAAGACCTCCAAATGATGTAGGGGAATGAAACTCTGACCTGCTATGTCTGGTACAAGTTTATGTTCTCTAAAATCGAAGAATGAATTTTAGGAACAATGGAGGTTAAGAGTAGAATATGTTTATTGAGAGAAAGAAAGCTTCTGTCAGAGAGAAACAGAAGGGGGTCCCGAGTGGGGTTACCCACTTTCTTATGTTTTTAGAATGTAAATATTTTAATAGTGTTTTAGAACTTGAAATGTATTATGAATGGTTTAGTGTAATACTCTGCTTTTGCTATACCATTATTTGCCCTGAATTAACTAGTGTAACTATTGAACATAACTTTGAAATCACTCTTCTGTTCTTGCAGTTGATAAGTAAGATGAATCCACATTTCTTTCTGCTTTCTTATTATGAATATGATTTGATACTTTAAAATCATTTTGAAGATTTTGTATATATGTGTTTTGCATATATGGTCTTATCTTGGAGAAATAGTGCTAAATGTTAGGTTTAAATTAAAATGGGAAGTTTTAAAGGCCACCTTGAAAGTTAAAATACATTATGATAAAAATGTTAGAAATAAGAGTAAAACAATAAGGAAATAATGGTATGAAGATGTGTAACTAGGTATGTTTATTTATTTGTTATTGAAATGTAGTTGGATAAATATGTCTTCTGTGTTTGCAGATTTTGGCTTTAATTTTTAAAATTCATTTTTTAAGGGGTAATTGATAATGATAAACATTTTTTGTTCTAGATTTTCCAAGTACCTCTGTAGTTCTTGAACAATTGAATGAGGCTGTTAGACCTCTCCAGGACTATGGAATTTCAGTTGCAAAGGTAAAAAGTTACTTAAGTTACTTATGTTAGTAAAATATTAGTGACAGACATTTTAGAATTGTATGATTAAGACAGAGTACCTAAAAATACTTTAGTTTCATTTTACAAACTGGAAAGTATTTTTTCTCCCCCCCCCCCTTTTTTTTTTTGGTATAAAAATAGAAAAACAAAGAGTTTCAGATTGTATCGCATGGTGCATGGGGGGGGACTCTAAAATTCATTGTGTTTTTCTTTTTGTTTCTTAATGGTACTACTGGTGATTGAACTAACTAAGAACTTTCATGTTCAGTTAGATCCCAGCCCTTTTTATTGATTTACTTTTTAAAATTTGAGACAGTCTTATTAAGTTGCTGAGTTGTCCAGATTGGACTCTCTCCTGCCTCACCCTCCCAGAGCCGTGAGATTACATGCATACCATACCTGACTTGTTTACAATTCGTTAGCTTAGAATTTCACTATTTTATAAACTATTTTTATTTGAGTATAGGGCTGTTTTTCAAAATTATAATTAGGCTTTGGTTCTATTTTGTTTTCCCTGACAGATATTTCAAATAAGTACTACAATTCAGCCATTTATTAAATTTCTACTAATATAAACTGAGGCAACAAAATTAATATAATCGAATTTTTTCTACATTGTTATAGTTTTTTGCAGTCTCACTGTTTGAATGTCCACTTTATATGCTTTAATTTTGTAACTTGAACAAATACTTCTAAGATGACAATATGTAATCCAGTAACTAGTGATTTCCCACTGTTTATTTTTTTCTGAAATTCTGTATAACTTGTACCCTTTTTCTGCTTTTTTTTCCCCTTTTCTCCTTAAATAAAATTTAAAAAAAATTGTTATAGTTGTTTGTGCTGCAGTTTCTCACATTTATTTTTAGAACAAAATGAAAACAGTTGAATTTGACAGTACATACCTAATTTCTTTTTCTCAAGAAGTTACAGACAAGAGAGTATTACGTCAAAGTTTCACAAGTGTCTGGGTTAGATAGCTGCCTAAGCCTTTAATTTAATTTGTAATTTGTACATCAGAAACTGAATGGGAAGTAACCCAGTGGTACTAAATTCCTTCAGAGTAATCTCTGTTTCTTGTACATTTATTCTTAAATCATTGGTCTGCCTTCTCCAGAGATGTTTGTTATCCTTAGTATCCTTACCTTGACTTTCCAAGGTAGCGCACATAGAAAGATTAACTAACTTAGGCTGTATACCCTAACAATCACACATCAAAAACTGCTATTTTTTATGTGTTATTTCTGTACATAGGGGAGTCTCAGTTAAAATTTCAGCAAATGAATCCCCTCTAGAATGACAATGGCATTTGTCTCCAGGAGCTTTGAATACAATTTTAACTGAGGTTTACAAATGCAATAGTAGATTGATATGAACTTCAGAGGGATAGTCATTTTTGTTTATTTAGAAACTAGTAGATTAGTACCTAGTACTCTCTTTATGGTAACTAGTGGAATAGAATATTATGATTTGTGTCTAGCCCATTGCCTTTATTAACTATCAGAAATTAACCTCTTGATTTCATGATCCTAGAATGTGGATCTGGAAAGTATAAAGTGACCAATAAAAGAAGCCCATGCTGCATACTAATTCAGTCTTTGGCACATAACGAATACTATAATAAACATTTGAGATTGAAATGAGCTTACTGTTTATAAAATAACACATTTACAAATTATTCCAATAACTAGTGAAATCTGATAACTGTAATCAGAAAGATAGACACAGAGGGGTGGGGATATAGCTCAGCAGCACTGAGCCTGCCTGGCAAATGTAAGATCATAAGTTCATTTCTCAGTACCAATGAAGAAACAAACAAACAAAAATAAGAAAAGAAGGAAAGAAAGAAGGTAGAAATAAAGTGCTAGAAGTTGAAAGGAAAGAAAGCCTATATCCGATTATTGAAGTGGAAAGTCACAGATGGTATTATTGGGGAAGACTTCACAAAGAGTAGCATTTAAAAATGTTTTCAAAAGTTAAGACTGCCAGAGGGGGAAGTGGATGAAGAGAACAATAAAATAGAAATGGACTAAATGTTCCAGTTAAGACAAAGATTGTCAAGCTGGAGACAATAACCAAATCCAACTGTATGCTATTTAGAAATGTGTCTAAAAAGCATCAGAAATCGTCAAAATAAATGAAGCAAAAAGATACATCATGCAAATGAGAACCAAGAAAACTCTGGTGTAGCGATGTTACTATGTCACAATCTATTGGAAAACACAGAACCGTTTAGTCATCCTGGGCTTTTCTTTCTGTCATAACCAGCCCATCTACTATGAGGTTCTACTCTCAAAACTTTTCAAATCTGACTCTTTCCTGGGCTTTCACTTTTTCCTTTCATTGTCATCACTTCTCATCTTTGATACCACAGGAATCTCCTACTAATGGTCTTTCTCCCTTCACTCTTCTCCCACTATAGATTCCTCTCCGTGTTCGTCAGAGGTGACAGAACAGATTGCCACCCTGTCCAGGCTTCCTGTTATACTAACGATACGCCTGAAACTCCTGACAGCTGCAAATTCATTTTCTGTCCCTTTGCCTTGTTTAGGTTGTTCTTGATGTACAGTGATGATTCTGGTTTTTTTTTTTTTTCCCTCTCCTAGTACTGGGTATCAAATCCCCAGGCATTATACAACTAAATTAATCCCAGCCTTTTTTTTTTTTTTTTAAAGATTTGAGACAGGGTCTTGCTAAGTTGCCCAAGTGAGAGTGAAACTTGCAGTTCACCTGCTTCAGCCTTTTGAGTGCTGGAATTACAAGCATGTGCCACCATGCCTGGCTCTTCTTTTGTTGCTTAAACCTGCTAGAGGTACTACTACCACATGTTCTCTGCAGGTGTTTTCTTCTTTGCTTCGAACTCATTTCTTCTACATATTTATGTGTTTGTGTATGTTGCTTTAAAAAATTTATTACTTTTTATAGCTCTAAGTGTGTATTAATTAGTTTTTAAATTGTTTCTGCTTGCAAATGTAAATTAAAGGGTAAAGATCTTAATTTTGTACCCCCAGGGGCTAGAACAGTGAATGACTTATGGTAGGTGTTCAAGTAAATGCTGAAAAGAGGGAAGAATGGATAGATCTGTTATCTCAGTGTCAACCATCTGTATGATCTGGACCTTAAACAGTTTTAAAATGTGCTAAAATTTACATTTTGGTCATTAGTCTGTACTTTGACTTTTAATTCTAGTTGATTATTCCTGGTGTCTTCCCTGTCAGTTCTTCTTCTTCTTTTTTTGTTTTTTTTTTAGCTTTTTGAACAAATGTCATTTCCAAGTGGTCATTCTGTTTCCTCAAGCTTTATTAAAATTAAATTGAACAACAAAAATCTTGCTCTTAAACCAAAAACCTTAGCAAATCTGAAACCAAAGAACTGTTCTCCTCGGCTTTGTTTTTGTTAGTTACTTTGGTGGCCCCGTTTGTCCTATCTAGAAATCCCTTCATGCTTTTCTTTCCATGCTTTCCCTCTCTGTCTCAGGATGCATATTCACACACAGACCTTCTACTTAGTTTAGTTACTGTCTTTGTGAAAAGACTTGAGTCTCTTTAGTTCTTTTTGACTTTATGTCAGGTCTTTGACCTCTACTATGTGTGTGCTCCTTTACCTCCCATTTTATCTTCATTTGCCACTAGCATTGACCATATATATATGTATATATTTTTTTTCCTTTTTCTTTTTCTTTTTCCTTTTGAGAAAGGGTCTCGCTGTGCAGTTCAGGCTGGCCTTGAGCTCACTTTGTAGCCCAGGCTGGTCTCGAATTTGCAATGATCCTCCTGCCTCAGCCTCCTGAGTGCTGGGATTACAGATGTGCACCACCACGCCCGGCTCTTTTGTCCCTGTATTTTTTGACAGCAAGTCCACATTATAAGCTCCCTTGAGCTGGTGTGGCTGCTCTAACATCATCAGGGACTCAGATTCATTCTTTCCATTGTGGCATCCTTAGCAAGTGGTTTCCTCTCTAAGGATGTCACGTGTTCCCTTAGTCCCTTGGTACCCTGCCTGTCTTGTCTGCTTTTGTATCAACTGATGGAGAGTAAGAGCAGCAGCCAGCCCCCTGTCCATCGCCCTCTAGGAATCCCAGTGTTTCTGCTACCATCCTCTGGGCATCCCCAGCTGTTGAGGAGGCTGGAAAAGCCTCTTTATGGGACGTTTGGTTTTAGCAACTTTCTGTCAGTAAACAAAAGTAGCAAACAGATAAAGTCAGAGTAGAAACTAGCAGGATCTGTCATACCTGTATTCAGCTGCTGAGATGCCATCATGGTTCCACTTTGCCACCCACTTTTTATGCTTCCTCCCCTGTTTTTTTGTGCCGAGGTTGATCCTGGGCCTTCTACTTGCGAAGTAGTTGCTCTGTCACTGAGCTGCCTGCTCCTCTGCTTCCTGGCTTTGCCATATACGTTTATGCCTTCTTTTCTACCTGATTACTCTCTTGTTCTGAAAGGTTGGATTAATTATAAGCTCTTAGGTATACTTCAATATAACTCTCAGGTCAGAATCAGTTCCCCTTGCTGCATTTCCTCACACACTTGAGTAAGAGAAATTATTGTATACAAATAAAAAAAAATACAAAATTGTTTAATTTCCCTTGTTTTCCTAACAAGGACCTTTGACCTTTGACCTTTTGGTATATGCTCTAAACCTTAAATATAATCTTTTAAAGGTTAATTGTGCCAAAGAAGAAGAAGCATCGAAGTACTGTGGTAAAGAAAAGGATTTGATAAAAGCATATTTATTCAGGTAAACATTTTTGAATGTGTTGTACAAATATAAAGTTATATTCTAGAATGTTCAAGTATATCAAACATCACTAAGCCAGAATAAAGTTGTATTTGGGTTATGTGAAGTTTAGCAAAAATTCCAAGCTGTACACTTGTTCCCTAACCTTTCTGCATTTTAACTTCCTTGTTTACAAAATAGGAAGTCTAAAACCTACCTCCTTGGGTTGTTTAGAATGTTACACGGTAATCTCACATAAATCCTTATTTCAAGGGCCTATGTAGGCACTTAGAAAATTCCAGTGTCCCAGGTAGCTGTGTCAGTTCTGTATTCAGATATACTTTATTTTTGGGGAATCTGTCTGTGTCTTGGTCGCAGATTCTTTTGGACTTCGGTGTTTTAATCTCTTTGGGGCATCTCATCTTTGGGGTTTGGCCAAGGAAGTGGGGAGAGACTCTGTTTGCTCAGGAAACTCCTGCTAAGGATATTTCTTTCTCCTGCTCCTCTCCTTCCCAGCCCAGTTTGGGAATCTGTATGTGATCAGAAAATAGTTAGGGAGCTTTATTTTGACTCGTATTTATTTCTAGTCTTTCAAAAACTAGATCCAGGGTCTAAACTTTTCAAAACCAACACATTTATCAAGTGTATATTCAATAAATATTTGAGGGTTCATTATGTGTGAGCTCTCCAGTTGGTGCGTAGAGTACATGGATAAGACACAGCTCTGACATCAAAGAATTTACAACATAATGTGCTAGAGAAGCAAGTAAATTGAAATCTAAGGAAATGTTTCTATAACATGTCTTTTGAACTTTTTATAGAGGCAACATATTGCTCAGAGAATTCCCAAGTGACACCTTGTTTGATGTGAACGCCATTGTCGCTCATGTTCTCTTGTAAGTACTAGAGTACTCATCTACTTAACCATTGTGGGTTTCATTTCAGAGGACCCAAATCCATTATAGTACCTTAAGATTTTAATATTGTATTTGTAGGCATCAGTTCCATGCAAATTGCGGACGTATCTCTCCACATTGAGTATCTAATTTTAATGCTGAAGGATACAAGAACACATGGATTCTCTCAACTTCACGAGCAGGTGGCTTTGAACAGCTGGATCCTAGATAAGGAAAGGTCATCAGTGAGGAGGACCCTGTTACCTGAGTGGGTTAGCAGGTGGGGTTTGTCACCTTCATTCCCGCTGTAGACATTGGCCTGTTACTAGGGTGTACTAACGCTGATTTATAGAACACAGGTTTCCTCAGATAGATTGTTCCCCATATTCCTACTGTGTGTCAGACACTGGGGACACAAAACAAAATAGGATGTGGCTTCTGTTCTCTAGGATTTTTTATTTATTTATTTTTTATCAGTACTGGGGATCAAACTCACAACTGTGCACTTGCAAGGCAGGTGCTTATGCCACTGGGCTAAATCCCCAGCCCTATTCTCTAGGAATTTGGTGTTTTCCTATAGGTATAAACATAAAGATGTATGGTAAGTAAAGAGGTAGAGATATGTGTTCCTAATGGCCAATGGATCCAGCAAGAAAATAATTACATGTCCGGAAGGAAGGTGGTTTCCTGAGGGAAGTGGCAGTTGGATAGGTCTCAGGATACGTGTTTGGCAAAGAAGGGGAAGGTGGGAAAAGTAGGGGAAACTGCAACAAAAGTGGAAATAGTTTAGAGAAGGTAGTTTTTCCTGAGTGTAAAATGTACAGGAGTGGATGAGGGTAATGGAGAAAGCATGGGGTCAGGTGAAGGGGTACCTCTTTACCCTCAGTGGAGCCCTGGGTTTTTGGATAGCCACAGAAGAGTAAAGTATCCCATTCCAGAGCAGAATCCTTGTGTGATGTTTCCATCCTGATCAGTATGGAGTTGGTATCTCTCTGTCTTGTCTGCATTGTCACATAATTAATAAAGTCTTATATACTTCTTTGTTTAGCTGAGGATCTAACGCAGGGCCTCTCACCCAGCCCTCAATAAAGTATCAATTGTTACTTTGTTAGTATCAATTGTTAGTTTTTAAAGTATCAATTGTTAGTTTGACTTGTGGTGTTCCTAATTGACCTCTTTAAACCATGATTGCTTGACCAAGAGTTGTAGCAGGTGAGTGTTCTGATCAGATTAGGATCTGAGAGATCTTTCTCACGTATGGGAGACAGATTTAGGGACCCAAGCACTTATAAAACCACTGTGTGCTGTTGAATAATCTAGGAGGTAGAGGTAGTGGAGGGGGGACTTTCTTTTCAGTGTCTTAAGTGGTAAAATTAACTAGACTTGGTAAGAGTAAATTTGCCAATAGTCAGCACAGCTGCAAACTTTTGACTCAATGCTTGATCTCCCCCTTTTTGCTACTTCGTGCTAACCCGGATCTATTGATTGCCAGGTCGGCAAGAAAGAAGAGCAGAATTAAAAAGACAGCTGTAGGAAGTGGGGCCTCTGGGGGGGTGCCTATCTAGGTGTTGCCCACACATAGGGCGTCCAGGGAATGTCTAAGGGCAGTGCTACCTATAGGAAGAACAAACTGGGAGGGAAAACCACGTAGTCTCACCCAAAGAGACCGTGCTGTCCCTTTTGGTCTAGAATGTAAGGAAATGACATGTGGAATACAACATTTACAAAAATTTCCAGTAACGCTATTTAGAATCTTGAAGAACTAGGTCAAATAGCTTGCTGTATCATAGCTGTATCTTGCAAACTGCCTTGACAAATGAAATGTCTTTCAGTTTATTTTCTTACCTGTGCATGCTGAAACCATGAGTTTAAAATACCCAGTGCTTGACTTGGAAAATGGTCTCTGTCTCATAGTCATTTACAGTTATATTTTGTTAATAGAAATGGGATTGAACAGGTTGCTATTTTTTGCAGATGTTTTTTATTGAAGGGTTTTTTTTTTTTTTTTTGGTCTTTTTAAGACAGGTCTTACTATGCAGTTCAGGCTGGCCTTGAGCTCACTTTGTAGCCCAGGCTCGTCTATTTCAGCCTCAGCAAAGTGAGCTCAATCCTTCTGCCTCAGCCTCAACAATCCTCCTGCCTCAGCTTCCTGAGTGCTAGGACTATGGCATGCACCACCAAGCCTTTTTTTTTTTCAGTATTGAGACTTGAATTTAGAACCTTGTGCTTGCCAGGCAGGCGTTTGTTCCACTGAGCTATATCCTTGGCCCCTCTATTGAGTTTGAAACTTCATTATTATTCAGTTCTAGATATTAGGAAATATCTTCAAATTCCCTAATGTGTTCTTTTTAAGAATAGGTGATCAAATTTATCTTCTTTGACTTCTGGAATTTTAGTTGTACACATACAGAGATTTCCCTTAGGCCATTGTTGTAAAGAGTATACCTTTATGGGGGTTTTAACTGATAAACTTACGGTAAATATGTACCTATTTATGGGGGTTTTAACTGATAAACTTACCAGTTAAAGGTAGAGAGTACCTTTAGATTTACAGAAAATTATAAAATTTGTAGGAGCAGATAGTACAGAGAATTCCCATGTTTTCTTTCATCTTATATGTGGTTTTCTCTGTTAACACTTTCCATCAATGTGGAACAGTTGTTAAAATTTAAGAACAGTTAGACATGATGGCACATGCCTGTGATCCTGGCACTTGGGAGGCTGAGGCAGGAGGCTCACTGTGAGCTCAAGGCCAATCTCGGCTACATAGTGAGTTTACAACCAGCCTGAACTACATAATGAGACCATATCAAAAAACAAAACAAAACAAAAATTGAAGAACAAATATCGACACTTTATCTTTAAGTACAGTGCATTGTTGAGTTCCTTTTCCTACTTTTAATTCTGTATGTTTTGACGAATGCATGAGGACATTCCCACCATTAGAGTATCAGATATAGTAGTTTCCTTGCTCTAAAATTCCCTTCTTCTCTCCACAAACCACTGAAGCTTTTACCCGCTCTGTAGTTTTGCCTGCTACTTTTTTCATATGGTTGGAATTACACAGCATATGTAGCCTCTTCAGATCTTACTTAGCCATATGTGAAAGACTCTGTGTCTTTTCATGGTTCGTAGCTTCTTTCTTCTTATTATCACTGTATAATCCTTTGTGTGGATGTACCAATGTTTATCCATTTCATCCTGAACACCACCTTGGTTGCTTCCAAGGTTTGGCAGTTATGAATAACATGACTATAAATAGTCACATGTAGGTTTCTTCGTGTGGGTGTAAGTTTTCAATTCACTTGGGTAATTATGCTGGGGTAAGGTTTGTGGATTATGTAGTAAGACTGTTTAGTTTTGTAGGAACCTGCCAAGCTACCTTCCAAAGTGGCCACGCCGTCTTGCATTCCCACTAACATGATAGTGCCTGTTCTTTCGCTTTCTTGCCCCATTCGATGTCATTGTTTCAAAAAATGTTTTAAATTTTAACCATCTTAATTGGTGTGCAGTGGTATCTCTTGATGTTGGACATCTTTTCATATGCTGATATGCCATCTGCATGTTTTTGGTGGAATATCTGCTGAGATAGTTTGCCTGTTTTTCGTTTTTTTTTTTTAAAGGTTGGGTAATTTTCTTACCATTGAATTTTAAAGATTATTTGTACATTTTGGATACAAGTCTTTTGTTAGGTGTGTGTTTCACAGAATTTTCTCCCAGACTCTGCCTTTTTTTCCCCATTCTCTTAATAATTTCTTTTGCAGAGCAGAGGTTTTTAATAATGAAGTTTTCTTTTACAGATTGTGCTTTTGATGTTTCTTAAAACTCATTGAAATCCAAGTGTGCCAAGATTTTTACCTTTAGACGTTTAGAATTTTATGTCTACGTTTAGGTCTGTGATGCATTTTGATTCAGTTTTTGTATAGGATGTAAAGTCAGTGTCTGGGTTCATATTTTTACATGTGGCTGTCCAGGTGTTCCGGTACCCATGATTGAACAGCTGAAGCTTTCCTTGTTGCTCTGCCTTTGCCTCTTCGTTAGTGATAGGTTGACTATATGTTTTGTGGGTGTACTGTATTTCCTTCCTGATTGCTTTAAATTTATGTTTAATTTTTTTTATCTCTTGTAAATTAACTTGGGGATGGTGTGAGGAATGGACTTAAACAGTTCAGGTGAGTGCTTAGTGTCCACTAAGATAAGTGATGAATCTACACTGACATAATCACGGAAGGCCCATAGGTTACAGTATGGCTCATTTTTGTGTGTTCTGTGGGTTTTGACAGATGTGTAAAGATATGCATTCATCATTTTGGTATCACACAGAATATTTTCACTGCCCCTAGAATTCTCCTATTTGACACCCAAGTGTCTCCCTTCCCTGGTAACCACTGATCTTTTTTATTTTATTCTCTAGCTAGCTTTGCCTTTCTAAGAATGTATATTCAAAATCCTACAATATATGGATAGCCTTTTCACATTGGCTGCTTTTACTTAGTAATGATAATGTGTTCAAGCTTCCTTTATATCCTTCCGTGGCTGATAGCTCATTTCTTTTTAGCTGTGAATGATATTTCATTGTTTGGAGGTACCAGTTTATCCATTCATCTACTGTAGGACATTTTTGTTGCTTCCAAGTTTTGCAATTATGAATAACACTATTTAAATATCTGTATGTTGGGTGTTAAGTTTTCACCTCTTGCAGGTTGGGTAAATAGCAGAGTGTGATTGCTGGATTGAATGATTAAAGTGTTTAAGAAACTCAAGTGTATAAGAAACTGGGAAACTGCCTTCCAAAATGTCATTAGCAGTAAATTAGGGTTCCTGTTGCTCTACCCTTGCCAGCAATTGATGTTATTACCACTTTCTGTTTTATCTGTGGTAATAGATGTGTAGTAATAGTTCACTGTTTTAATTTGCATTACTTTGATGACATACCATGTGGAGAATTTTATGCTTACCTGCTATCTCTGTGTCTTTGGTGAAGACTTTGGCTCTTTTTAACTGGGTGGTTTGCTTACTGTTGAGTTTTAAGAGTTCCTTATGTATTTTGGTTTACAGTCCTTTATCAGCTGCATATTTGCAAATATTTTCTTTTAGTCTGTAGCTTGTCTTCTCATTCTTTTAAATCTATCAGTGTTTTACTGCTTTTTTCATCTATGCCTAGACATTTAAATTTATTAATTCATATTTTATCTCATTTCCATCATAAATGAGTTCTTCCATCATCTTCTGACACAGAGACCCATAGACATAATGGGATATATTTCTATGTAATGGATAATAATATATAAATATATATCTTATATATTACCTGAGATATATATATATATATACCTATATATAGTATATTTATATGTTTATGAAAGATACTGATTTTTGTGAGTTAATTATGCATCCTTTGTCTTTAGTGGAATTTTAATTTGAGAAAGCAGAAAAGTGAACTAGTATTTCACTTTGTTTTTCAATTATACTGACTAATAACTGAAATAATATTCACTTATTAATAGTCATATTAATCTATTAGATTGGAACAATATGTTATACAAAAGGCCACAACAACCTCCTCCATACTTTAATCCCATTATCCAGAGCTGAAAGACAATTATTTTTTAGTTATATACTGTCCTTTTTTCTAAGATACTGTTTTTTGTTATTAGATGTATACATAGAACCTCCATGTACTATCAGATATATTTTACCACTATAATCATGTAAATTATTGCTCTAAGTTTTTTATTAGACAATAAAGTAGTTAAATAGGCAAGTCAAAATTTATTGCTGTTCCCTCCATTTACAAAAATTGATCAACACACATATTAAAACATTAGTTTCGGGGCTGAGGATTTAGCTCAGTGGCATAAGTGCTGCCTTGCAAGTGCACAGTCATGAGTTTGATTCCTGGTATCAAAAAAAAATTAGTTTCATCCATCTTGTTTGTTTTTGATCCAAATCTACTTCTTAGCCTTATAATACAGGAGAACAAATATTTGTAGATGATGTTTGGATTGTTCTCAAAATACTTTCTCATGAATTGAAAGCTTGCCTTTGAGAATATTTGTGTTTGCCCTGCTTCAAAAATGTATAAGCCATGCTATTTTTCCTATAGCATTAGAATTTGTTCTTTTTGGAGAATGTTTTGATTGAAATCAGTGATTGACAGTTACTCTTTTTTTTTTTTGACAGTTATTCTTGAACTCTGCCTTTTTGTTAACAGAAAATATCAAGGTTTGAGATAATTTATTTTTTTCAGAATATATGTGCCTCTAATCCCAGCACTTTAGAGGCCGAGGTAGGAGGATTGCCACCAGTTCATGCCAGCCTGGGCTACATAGTGAGTTTGAGGCCAGCCTGGGCTACATAGTAAGTTCGCAGCTAGCTTGGACTACATTGCGAGACCCTGATTAAAAAAACTAAAAGAGAAAGAAAGAAAGCTTCATAAAGGATTTTAGGGTATTTCCTTTTATATATGAATCTATTCAGTCACAGTATAATTAATTAAAATAAAAGCATGCCCCCATTTGGCATGATAATTTAACAGGTGACATTTTCATTTTTCTTTCTTAGAATTTGAATAAAGGCAGAAAAATAATGTAAAAATGGTTTCTTTCTGAAAAAAGACCAGGCGGCCTATCCTACATTAAAACTAGAGATAAGCAACCCTCTGCTTTTCTTATACGTGCCTGCCCTGTGCCTGGCTGCCTGTCTTACCTACCTGATGTTGGGGTGGGGGTCTCAGGACCTGCCTGGGGGAGAAACAGTTCTGACCAGAGCAGCCCCCGGCTGTTTTACCCCAGCATTAGAGCACTGAAGCCCCACGACTTTTTCTGGACCTGTTTCTATCAGAAATTGTCCTCTTTGGGACCTGAATAAAGGACATGCTTGGGGAACAGATCCTCCCGAGCCCTAGATAGCCTGCTCTTCTGGATAGCAGCATATTAAGGAATGTATTAAAGTTAGGAAGCCACCGGGAGGGCTCACAGGGCTGGCGAGATTATGAATGTCATTAGTTTTGGTTATTATGTTGTGGATCACAACTGCTTAATGAGCTTTGGGACATTAAGCTAGGTAACCTCTCTAAACCCCATGACCTTGCCTTTGCAATAGAGTTAATGACAGGATCAATCTCAGATATTTGCCATGAAAACTAAACAGAGCAGAGTATACAGCTGAGGGTTCTTAGTGATAAGCCCTAGAATCTGGGTCTGACTGGCTTAAGCAGAGATTTGGAGTAGAAATAGGAAATTTCATCCTCACTGAAGGGGGGGAGAATCAGACTCAAAGGTTATACAGCTCTAAATTAGTCACAGGCATGACATACAAGCAATCTGGCCGGGGTAGTTGCGTTTTTCCTGAGTGCTGAATGCCGTAGGTCATGTTCCCTGCACTGGGGCTGCTATTAACATTGTCATCACTGCTGCTTTTGAAACTAACCCTGCTGCTGCTTCTTAAAATAAGTCTCTTTTGTCACTAGTTCTTTGTGTCACTTGCTCCTGATGGGTAGTCTCAGGCCAGTGATTCTGGGTTGCTTAGCCATGCTTGCTGTAGGGAGCCTGGGATAGAAAGTTTATGATAGCCATTCATGCAGGTCATGGGCTCTGCCTGCCACAAACACTTAGAAAAGTGGGAATTCCTAGAATTATGGTCAGGCGAAAAGATAACTTGATTACAAGTGAAAATACCTATTTTGTGTTCTAGCAACTTGATTTAATAAATGCATTGTAAGCTCATCAGTGTTTTTGACCCTGCATTTTTTTCAAATGAAGAATGAGAATAAATAATTTGTGCTTTTTAAAAAGTTTTTATTGATTACTACTATGCATGAGATTTTATTCTAAATTATTATATAGATAGTGATACAATATGCAAGGTCTTTGCCTTAAGGAGATAGTAGTTTAATGAGAAAGCCAGAAGAAAACAAGTAAGTGAAAATACAAACAATTAAACTTGTCATAAATTCTGTGAAGGAATCAAATAGTGAGATGGGAAGATGTTTCAGGCTTACACAGCTATAACAAGGGAGGCTTCTCTGAGATGATGATGTTTAAGAGAACAGCTGTCTGAGAGCTAGCAGAGGGAGCGCCTGAGGGCAGTGTGTGTGTGCAGACACCTGAGTGTGCCTAGATTGTGTGGACATGAGGGGAGCCTTCAGAAAGGTGGACAGCGTCTACGTCAGGCAGGGCCTCAGAGGCCTCGGAAAGAAGCCTGCAGTTGTGGTGCGTGAGGGACTCAAGTGTGTGCACGGCTGTGGTTATTTGGTCAGACCGGTGTGGTGGAGAATACAGCTGAAATCTGTCGAGGGGACTGTGATGGAGAATAAGCAACGTTTCTCAGCATTGCTCCTGTCTGATAACCTAGAGACTGATTTTAACTCCTAGGTTCTGTTACTTCGTGTGTGCATGTGTACATGCGCATGCACTTTGAAGTATGGGGGCTTAAACTCAGGGCTTGATGATGCCAGGCAAGTGCTCTACCGCTGAGCTACATTCCCACCCCTTAACATGCTTAGGTTCTTACAGCTGCTAATTTGTTCAAAGGCGTTAAATATCTTTCTTCTTTTTGTAGTACTGGGTATTGAACCCAAAGCTTTTGCCCTAAGCTACATCCCTTAAATTTAAAATACATTTATAATTTATAGTTACATTTTATTTATTTATTATGAGACAGGGTCTTACTAAGTTGCTGTATTGCCCATGCTGGGCTCCAACTTATGATCCTTCTGCCTCAGCCTCCCTGGGTGTTAGAATTACAGGTATATCCCACTATGCCCAGCTGAATTAATTAATTAATTTATTTATTGAGACAGGGTCTCTATATGCAGTTTGGGCTGGCCTTGAACTCGCAATGATCCTCCTGCCTCAGCCCTCTGAGTACCAGGATTATAGGAGTGAGCCACCATGCTTGACTTTATTTTTTTTTTAAGTAAGTTTCTTTAACAAAAATATATACCTATAGGGCCAGGGATACAGCTCAGTGGCACAGGTGCCTGTCTGGGAAAAGCAGGATCCTAAGTTTGATTCCTGGTACTAAAAAATAAAAAAGAATGAAAAAAAATACCTATATGTAATTATTACATGTCAGATTTTCTATTAATTTTATATATGTTTATTTTAGTGCTCTTCTTTTCAATGAAGTGAAGTATGTTACTACCCAGGAAGACATTCAGAACATAGAAAATACTGTGAAAGGAAAAGCAAATATAATATTTGCATATGTAAGAGCCATTGGAACTCCAGGTATTTATCAAGCTTTGCTTTTATCTTTGCTGTGCCTATGTGAGTAGGTTAAAGTACTTTAAGTAGAATACACACGCTTTAAGCATCTGTACTATTATGTCCTCTTTCTCTAAATGAGCAGCATAATACATATAGTTAGTGGTTGAATGAGAACTCATAATATAGTTAATGGTTGAAGAAGGTACTGACTACCTTAGACCTGTTTCCTGCTAATCAGTTGGAGTGTAACCTTGGACTAGCTACTTAATCGTAGTTTCCTAGTCCTTAAGATGGAGAGGATACCTTTCTCTTAGTTTTATTTTGGAAAGCACCATGAATTTCAGGAACTGAAGTGTTCTCTAGAATATTTTGTGGTTGCTGTATGTTAACTATTACTGTTTTTATTTCATTATAGTTCTCATGATACCTGGAATTATAGTTCCTAATATTTGATAAATATTATTGACTGACGGGCTTTCTTTTCTACTTTGTTTGTTGCTTAGAATGGTTTTTCTTGATTTTTTTTAAAAAGAATCTTTTGACAGCATCATCTGAGCATTAATACCTAAGTTTGTGGTAAAGAAGTTTATAAACATTTTATGACCAAATTATAGTTATGGTTTGTTTTAACTTTTTATCGGTACCAGGGATCAAACTCATGACCGCCTGCTTGCAAGGCAGGTGCTTATGCCGCTGAGCTAAATCCCAGCCGCTATAATTATGTTTTCAAGACTTTCATTCATTAATGGTTATAGTGTAACCATGTTAGCATGAAATGCTGTTAAAGATGTTTTAATAATTGTAAATGCTTTTAGGAAATAAATCATTTATTGAAAATCTCAATTTTTACACATGTAAAGCTTGCTGGCTGTCTTGTATGTTACTGACCATAATATACTTGGAAATAATATTTCACAGTTAGCCTGCTTTTATTTCCTTTTTAGAGTCCTTGATTGTTCTGTTTTCTCCAGAATTTCTAGTTGTAGTCTGTGAAAGGGATGAAGTAGGAGGGCTTACACTGCTACTGCTATCCCAGACTGTGAACTTCCTAATTTATGTTAATAGCACAGTCTGACTGTTTAGGTTTGTACTAGATTAGAAGAAGCAAAGGTAAAATAATGGAGAAAATTGGGTATCTGTGCAGTAATGCAGGCAAGAAGTGACAGTGGGTGATTGGGACCTAGTGGGTGAGTGGGTTAGCAATAGGGGTAGCAAAAAGTGTGAATTTCAGAAGTATTTTAGAGGTAAGGGAAAACAGAAGTTGCTGTGACATTGGATGCAGACTGAGAAATAGTGGAGACAAAAGTAGTGCTGAGATTTTGGTGTAAGATACTGGAAAAATGAAATGCTAATAACTGAGATAGAAAATATTGGAGATAGACTGGACTAGACACTTTGACATCATACTTGGGAAACGTCCACAAGACATCCAAGTGGGTGACACCTGACATCCAGCCAGCCAGCCAACATACATGGGTATCACTAGACTGCATTTTTATGTTGGGATGTAGACTAGTGATACAAACTGGAGAAATAAAACTATGAGACCAGAAGAAATCTCTGTGTGAGACTGGAAAGAGAAGACACAGTTGGAGCCATTAGACACTCCGGCATTTGCACACCAGTGAATTTCCATTTAATTTTTCAAGAAGTTAATTTTTGTCCAAACACACTCTTCTTTATGAGAAGCTAGAGAATAGCGTGTATTGATGATGAGAAATCCTGAGGGAGATGGCCTTGGCTGGGCATCTGTTCTCACTGATCCCTTATTTGAGGTGAATCACCCCTTACTGGGTGTGGAAATGCCAGCAGCTGTTTTACCTTCAGGAAAACAGCATGGCAAAGTGAGAGCCTTTTCCCTGGATCACAAACTGAGCAAATAACCGAACTGACAGTGGCTAAAGTCCCAACTGTTACTGCCACACTGGGATTCAGCTCCATCAGAACTTTGCTGTAACAGACCTGACTTTCTCCTTACCTCATCCCTCCAGACTACTCCTAGAGGTATTATTTAATCACCTGTTCCAGATGCAGCTGAAATGTTACATTGTGCTAGTTTTCTCAATTCAAGGAGGATGCAAAGTAACTCAGTAATGATCTGAGATTTATTATGTATTTTCAATAATTTAAAGTTTTTAACTGAAGTTACCCAAATTTAGGCAGTTAAGTGTAAAGATGGTCTTAACAAGCTATGGCCTGGAAGTCGTTTGCTCCTAAGGGCTTTGTAAAATTGGGGAACAGGTGCCTACATCCACACTATTGCTTTCCACTCCGTCTCTGGTTTCAACAGTTGACATCACATCAGATTTTCTTCTCACCTTCTCATTTCTGATTGCCCATCCGTGGGAACTTCTGTCAGTAACACTGCAGAGAGGTTTTTCAGGAGCTCTCCTTCCAGTCTGCCTTATTTTGAAGGTGGCTTCGTGGTCACCTTTGTCATCTCCCCTTTTATAATAGTCACTGGTCAGCACTTTAGGGACCCCTATGTGGGGTCTCTGTGGCTTGATCTGGGCTGAGCAGGCAGAAATGGACAGGTTTGTTTTTTCTAACCGCTCTTTAATCAGTTGATGGGTGATGATTAACTTGGGGAGCACCCTACATAGGAAATCTCGTTCCGTTGTGATGCCGGGCCCCTTCTTTCACCCTAGGCTAGAGCCATCTCACTACTGAAGCAGGCGTATATAGTTTTTGCATATATAGCCAAGGGAATTGAAATGTTCATTGCAGCATATTCATAAGACCAGGATGCAGAAACCGCTTCTGTCTGCCCTGAATTTGCAGGTACATGACAAGCAGTCATGAGTGTGTGATAGGAAAGCGCTAATTCTGGGAAGCAGAGCCCTGCAGACTTCCCAATCCCACCCCTTCTGCAACGTCTTGCTGAAGAACCTCTTCTGCTCTTTTACCTGTATCGAGAAAACTTTTTGTGGCAGAATGCATTCTTTTTGGCGGAGAGCCCTGGCAGGCAAGCAGACACCAGGTTCTGCTGACTCGAGGGCTCACCCCAGGAGCCACCTGTGGAGAGCAGGGGCTCTGGCTGGATGGGTGGACAGGCTTGTTGCCAGCCCTGTTCTTGGGGCAGAACCTAGGAGCATTGTGCCAGTGGAGAAGAGCCGCCACCAAGGATGCAGGAGGTCAGGTGCTCTGCCTTTGTTAGCTTCATGAAAGACCTGCTGAGCTCTGTCTCCATTTTGGGGTTCTGTGAGGAGGCTGGAGAGTCTGAAGTGGCATATGTGGAGTGAGGCCCAGAAATCTTTACTTTTTTTTTTTTTAACAACCATCAGGTGATTCTCTCATATCGCTAAATTTGGGAATGAGCAGAGCATCATATTTTTCAAGATTCTCTCCAGGGCAGCGAGACCCTTTGTGTTAGTGAAGAACCACTGACTTACTCAGACCTAGACTGAGAACAGAATGTGCCTCGTGCTATTCTGAGAAGCCAGTCAGCACAGAAGCCTCTTTTTTTTTGAGTATCCTATCCAGATTTATCCGGAGCATTCCCAGCTCTTTTAGGCTTGCAGCAAGGTTGAGGGTTGGCGCCTCATGTTTTGATGTCTGACGTAAAGGAGCCAGGAGCGAGAGAGGTGTCTGCTGGGATTTTTTTCCACATTCATCATCATCTTTCTGTCCAAATAGATGCCCTGTTTCAGTGACACAGGCGAATAGTAGCTTCTAGACCAAAACAGTTTTCTCTGGCAAGCTATTTTATAATACCATATAGGGCCATTTTGAGTTCTTTCAATTATTTCTAAGTTGCCTTCGTAGGCTTTAAGAGTCAGTAGAAACCTAAAATGTCCAGATGTTCATGTCTGAGCAAGGACCCAAAGGTATTGTTGGTGCTTTTAGAGTTTTAAGGAAGAGAGCAGGCACGCAAGTTAAGTGATGTTCAAATTGAGATGAGCACTGCCACTTGGGCATTATGCAGAGTGGTGTAGCACTTGCTGGTGACCCTTAGCAGTGTAGTTTCTGTAAAGTGGATGGAAGAAAACAATTTAAAATGATTATTTAAAATGAAATTTAAAACACCATAACTGCATAACAGAGTTGTTCAAAAAACATGGCGTTGTGCCCCGTGTGGGTCATCTATAAATAATGCTTTCTGAGCCGTCACAGTGTAAACTCTGAATATTCATCTGATAAGAATTAGAGTTGAGGCAATGGGAATTGGGTACATTTTTGGAGCTGTGTTTAGAGATGGAATTTGTTATCTTCCATAGTGGGAAATAAATAAGTGATAAACCTTTGTCTTTTTGTGTTTGTGTACAGTCTGACAAAAAAATGTGTACACTCTTCAAGAAAACAGTTTATTGAGTATTGTATAATTTATTGAGTTATTATGGTATTAATACAAGTTACCTTTGGCCTATACAATTATAAGAGGTGCTCAATGTGGTGGCCACGAGCCTGCAGACGTTCATCAGTGCGGCAAACTGCTGCCTGGGTAACCTTGGTCATTGCTGCCCGTGTGTTTTCAATTTCTTCTCTAAGGGCTGGCAGCGTAGTGGGTTTTCTGCGATATACAACATCCTGTAGGGTCCCCTATTCGCGGGTATTGCCATCTGCTGAGAAAACATCATACAAATATATATATATATATTTGCACCATTTAGACATTTAGAGATAAATACTAGAAGAAATAGTGAAAGAATTCAGAGATTCAAAGTGATTGTAAGTTGGTAAATGGAAATGGGAGAAAGGGTAGGTGAGTGGTTGGTTATTTGTTTATGGCTGCTTGATTGTTGTTGTTTTTTGCTGTTGTTTGTTTTCCTTTCTTCCTCTACTCTTCCATGGTCTGTCCTTCTTGATTCCTCAAATGTATCTGGTACAGTCACGATCACCATCTTCAGGCACTTCTGCAGAGTGCTGATCTGCTCCACCAACGGAGACTGCTGCATGGTGCCTGCCTGGCGCTCTTATTTGGTCTCCTTGATTCTACTTTCACGATGAACTAATATTGCCTGGATACAGAATTCTAGGTTCAAGTCATGTCCGTTGGAATTTTGAAAACGCTGTTCATTTTCTTCCATTTCCACGGCTGCAGTAGAGTCCCACAAACTAACCCCTCCTTTCTTCCCACCCCTCTCTTACTCAGAGCATAGAGCAGTCATGGAAGCAGCCTTTGTGTACGGGACCGTGTACCAGTTTGTTTTAACTACAGAAACTGGCGTTTTGGAAAGTATCGGGTAGGTATGAGAGCCACATGTTACCGATTTTGTTTTTTCCTGTTGGTTTATTTCACATTCTTAATCAGGGTTTGCATGGTACCCTCACAGCATGGGCTTATCTGAAGGAATTCCAAGCAGAGGTGAATTTGCGAATGAAACCTGAAATATCTATCACTGCTCTCATCTGTTCTGCTTCAGGGTGACAAGTACAGAAACAGCGTCAGACTGAGGTGACAGGGACAGGATGGTCAGCTTGAGATGGGATCCCATAAGTGGCCAAGTGAGGTATCAGGAATAGATTTCCTCAGATAGTGGGGGAAACAACAGCCTTCAGACTCAAGCTCCAGAAATTCTTTGTGAGAGTTATTTTTTAATTAAAAATTATTAGGACATGTTTTTAATGCAAAACAGTGATATTCACCTTGGGGGGTTGGGGATAACATGTCTTGATAATTTTCAGTTGCTTTGCTTCCTTGTCCCTTTCTTTCTCCCACTTTTAAACTCCTTTTACATCTTTTTTTTTTTTTTTTGGCATTTTCGTTTTTATTGGTACCGGGGATCGAACTCACGACTGCCTGCTTGCAAGGCAGGCACTTATGCCGTTGAGCTAGATCCCCAGCCCCTCCTTTTACATCTTTAAGAGACTACTTCCTAATCCTCTTTCCATATTTTGTTCATTTATGTATATTTTAGGTTTCTCATAGAAGAGATGTTTAACTTTCTGAATCAGGCTTATTCCATTTAGCATGGTGATCTTTAGTTTCATCTGCTTTCCTACAGATGATGTGATTTTATTCTTTATGGCTGAATAATATTCCATTGTGCATATACCACATTTTCTTTATCCAGTCATCTATTGACTGGCATGTAGGCTGTTTCTAGAGCTTAGCTATTGTGAATTACACCATTATAAATATCAGTATGCATGCATAACTACAATAGAATGTATTTAATTTTTTAGGAATATAACGGGGAATGGTATGGCTGATTAAATGATATTTCCACTTTTAGTTTTTTGAGGACTTTTCATACTTACCTATGTAGTAGCTCCACTCATCTGCCTTTCCACCAGCAATGGAGAAGGCTTCGTGTTTCCCAGTCTTACCAGCATCTGTCACCTCCTGTGTTTTCAATGTAGTCATTCTGACTGCCATGAAATGGAATCTCAGTGTAGTTTTGTTTTACATTTTCCTGGTGGATAAAAATGTTGAACATATTTTCATATACCTTTTTTAATTCTTTTGGTACCAGGAATCAAAATCAGGACCTCATGCTTGCCAGGCAGGGGCTGTGCCACTGAGCTGTATCCCCAGCCCTACACATACTTATTGGTCATTTGTACTTCATTTGAAAAGCGTCTGTTCAGTGCCTGTGCCCATTTTTATTGGATCATTTGTTTTGAGGATTACTTAATTTTTTTGAGTTCTTTTTCTGGACTATAGCTTTATGCTTTGTCAGAAAAGTAGCTAGCAAGAGTCTCCCATCCGATTCTGACAAGGGAGCAAACGCACACCCTGGAGAGAACACAGCCTTCTTTTCCACATGATCGTATTTCCCCTGTGTTTTCTTCCAGCAGGTTCAACATTTCTATTTTTATGTTTAGGACTTTGATCCACTTTGATTTGATTTTAGTACGTCGTGAGAGGTAGGCATCTAATTCCAGGCTTCTGTAAGTAGATACCCATTTGTAGGATCATCTGGAAAAAGAAGCATCTCTTTTTTCCAGGGTGTGTGTTTGCTCCCTCGTCAAAACCAGGTGGCTGAAGGTTCATGGGTTTGTTTCGTTGTTTTTATCGACGTGTCTTTTTCTGTATGTCAGTGCCGTGTTTTTGTTACTCTAGCTTTGTAGCGTAACCTGAAATCTGGTATTGTGATATCTCTTTGGTATTTTTACTCAGGATTGCTCTAGCTATTCTGGGTCTTCTTTTTGATTCCATATAAACTTTAAAGTTCTTTTTCTAGTCCTCTGGAGACTGTCATTGGAATTTCCATGGAAAGTGCATTAAAGTTATTATAGACCCTTTTTGGTAATATGGCCATGTTATCTTCTTTTTTATTTATTTACTTTTATCACTTATGTAACTTTTAAAATTATGTATTTGTGATACATAATAATTACATTAGTTTGGGGGAATTGGTATACATGCATATATATAATCTTGATAATTTTTGTTCTCCTTTATCTCGCATCATTCTCTCTAACATCTCTAGATCTCCTTCCCAATTTCCCCAAAAAAGTCTGTCTTCCTATTTTCTACCATCACTCCTTTATTTTGCTATTAAGTTACTTATATTTTACTTTTTCTCATGTCAGAGAAAACATGCAGTATTTAACTTAATATACGTGTTTGATGTCAGTTAACATTATGGTCTTAAGAGCCATTTATTTTCCTATAAATGTATCCTTCTTTACGACTAAATAATACTCCACAGTGCATATACATCACATTTTCTTTATCTGTTCATCTGTTGATGGGTATCTAGGCTATTTCCATACTCTAGCTGTTGTGCATTGCACTACTGTCAACACATGTGTTCGTGGATCACCGTAATATGCTGATTTTATCACACTTTTTGGAAAATACCCAGAAAAGTATAGCTGGGTCAAACGGAATTTCTGTGTTTTTAGTTTTATTTCTAGAGAGTGGTTACACTAATTAACATTCCCACCAAGAGAGTAGAATGGTTTGTTCTCCTCACAGCCTTGCCAGCATTAGCTACCTTGGAGTCCTTGATGAGAGCATTCTAACTGGAGTGAGATGCAGTCTCGGTGTTGTTTTGTTTTGCAAAAGATGCTGAGCACTTTGTCACATACTTCTTGGTATTGTGGCCACTTTAATGATACCAATTCTGCCAATTCAAAAACAAGGGCTGTCTTTGTATTTTCTAATGTCCTATTCAATTTTTTCCTTCAGAATTCTGTAATTTTCATTATAGGGATCTTTCACCTCCTTGGTTAGGCTGATTCCTAAGCATTGATTTGTATGTGAATGGAATTATTTCCAGCTGTTTTCTCAGTGAGTGGTATGACAACACTTAATTTTTATGTGTTGATTTTGTATCACGTTTGTGAGATTTTTGTTACTTTGTCATTCTAGCCCTAGGTGTATTTAAGTAGTGTTTGTTTTGTTTTTGTCTTTTTGAGATAGGGTTTCACCATGAAGTTCAGGCTGGCCTTGAACTCATTTTGTAGCCCAGGCTGTCCTCAAACACATGGTGATCCTCCTGCCTCAGCCTCCCAAGTTCTGGGATCACAGGTGTGTGTCAGCATGCCCAGCTAAGTACAGTTTTTTAAACAGAATGTTTTAACGTTTATTTTTCTTGTTTAGATTCTCATTTACAATTCTAGATAGAAAAAGTACTTTGCAGGGTTTTTGGCTGGGCCATTCTCTAGTTAAGTTTTTTCTTCCATTTAGTGCTTAAGGACACAAGCAATAACCAGTGTGCTTTAAAACCAAATTTGACTACAAACTGCCCTTCAGGAAAGTTAATCCAGAGCAAGGCAAAACAGTAATCAACCTTTTAATGCCAGGTGTCAGCTTTTAATGTGCCTGCTGACCTCGCAGGACATAGTAGTTATTTGATATCCTAGACATAATTGTTTAAGGCCCAGATGTTTTACAGCTCTGAAGATGTGGAGGCTGACGCACAGAAAACTGATGAAGTGAAATGATTTGGGTGTCAGAGTGAGGGAAGTAAAATGTTCTTATGAAGAAGTTACATTTTTATTGCCCTGTATACCATTAACCTGTGTGCCTCTTTCCAGGATTCTCTCCTTACAGACATTCTTCTGGTTCCCTCATTAATGACTTAAACATTCAATGCATGCTTACTGTATGAGAAATATGTTTCTAACAGTGTGAGAATTGTACTGACATTGCCATAAACCTTCCCTGAAGGTAGTCACTTGAGTTGCAAAAAAAAAAAAAGCAGTCGATAGACACCACCATTGTGCTGCTCTGTAGGCTGCGTGGTTCCCAGTGGAGAAAACCTTGTCTGTCTGACGGTCTGTCTTTCTGCCTGTATCTTTCTGCTCCCCTTCCCCTTTTTCCCTCTCTTGGATTTGAGAGTAAAACATGATATTATTCTAGTAGTCATATGACAATACTACCAGGGTTTTTTCCCCTTCAGGTTTCCCCATTTTTAAAATTGAATTGAAAATAGTTACCCTGTTCTGTTTACTTTTTTTTTTTGGCTTTTTCCTTTTTATTGGTACCGGGAATCGAACTCATGACTGCCTGCTTGCAAGGCAGGCGTTTATGCCGCTGAGCTAAATCCTCAGCCCCCTCTGTTTACTTTGGGCGTACTGCATTGGGGATGTTTGAATTGTCATTTCTTCATAAATAACAAGATGGTGAGGAGTCAGATCTGGACCTGATGTAACTGGGTAGGACCTTATGTTCCGAATACAGTGGTCCTGTGACCTCCCTTCTGGATAAAGTGGTTAACTATGACTGATTTTTCTCCTGATGGGGTGAAGTGAATACTTCCTTTATTTTTTTCATTGTTATATTCAGCTAATATTTATTGACTGCTTTATGTGTGCAGGGCGTTATTCTGGTTTCTGGGGCTGTACCATCGGATTAGATTAGTATATTGGTAACTATATCATGTTGGGCTGGAGTGTATTTGAAATTATGTATCCGTGAAGGGAGTATAAGATGGATAGTAAAGGATGCAGTATGCTGTAGAGGCACCAGTACTTTCTGCTACCTCTCCATTTTCCTTTTTTAATTTTTTAAATTTAAAACATTTTTTATTAGTATGGGATTTAGTACATGCAGGTAACACATTTTAAATATTTTTAAAAATTCCCTCCCTGTCCTTCCCCTCTTCATATTCCTTCTTAAAGAATCTGCGTTGTCCAAGAATGGTGTGTTACCCTTCGTATCCTCAGGTCACTGAGTTAAACCAGATGGGGCCCCTGACCTCAGGCCAGCAAGTCCACTGTTGAGCAGGTGAGATCCCGACTCCTCAGAGTCTGGCATTTGGTGCAGAGACACTGGGTTCTGCAGTTATCTGCAGCTGTCTTGCTCACAGGAATTTTTGCCCCATTACAGAAAAAGCAGCAAAGTGTCTTCGCAGACGGAGTTGGAAGCTGAAGAGTGTTAATGGCAAGGTGAAGGCCCCTGAGCTCTTGCTGTTTAGGCCACCGTATAAAATTCGTAGATTTCTATCATTATTTGTATTTTCTGATCATTATTTGAATTTTGTATAAAATTCGTAGATTTCTATCATTATTAGTATTTTCTGATCATTATTTGAATTTTGTATTCTGTGAGGTATTCTTCTAGACTTCACCTAAGTTCTCCTCACCTTGGTTTCTGTTACCTGCAAGCAGATAATCCCTGATTAAAGAACTTTCTCAGATTATTTTATAATTTCAGAGATTTTAACATGGAGTCCATTCTTAACTAGAATCTTCTTGCTGAGGATTTTCCTTTTAGTAGTATGTGACTGTTTTGGGATTCTCCAAAAGTTTTGTACTGACATTGAGCCTTAGGTGTATTACTGCTTTTATTTGAAATGTCCATTTTTTCCTGTCTTGAGGAATCCATTCTCTCCCTTTCTGTTTTTTGAATTTTTTTAAAAAATCTTTGTTGTATTTCCTTTCTTTTCCTTTCCAACCTGAGGCAGAATAGAATATCTCTTTGTTCCTCGTAACATTTTATATGTTATAGCACTAATAAACCACAATTTAATTGTTTTACTGACTATGTCTTCTTTAGTTTAAGCCCTTCAGGGATTTAAATTATATGATTTATCTTTATCTCTCATGGTTAGCATGGAATCTAAAAGACAGTTGGCATTAAGTGTATCTTTTAAGTGATTATTCCTCTGATCCATTGTAGTTAAATTTGAAATCAGTGAACCTTGAATATTTGATTTAAGTGTGTCTCAAGAATTAGAATAAATATTTTAAATATAAAATTTTGTAGTATTTTGCCAAACTCTACTAATAGCATATGGAGGTTTTTTTTACATGCTATTTTAATTTTGGCAAACCTTATTCTCACTGTAAGTTTATCTTTGTGTTCTCGTGTTGAAGAAAACTTGAATTATAAGCCATATTTGCTGAGCTTTGTAGTATTTTAGATATAAACTCACTAACTCCCACAAACTGTCACATAGTTCTAATTTTAAGGCCTGTTTATTTGAAACAGCTTTAGTCTTAAATTAAAACTAGAAGATTCATATAGGGTAACTATAGAAAAGCAAGTATATTTAAAAATAATCTCATTGTCTGCAAGATTACATCCTTTTATTGAAACAATTATGTAGGCCTATGTGTAACTTCCCCGAGAAGCTACCATACAAAAAAGGGTCCGGTAGAAAATTACCTACATGACTCATATGGTTTGAGCATATATAAAGTTTAATCTTCAATATTGTAGTAAGTTTTACAGCCTGAGTTCATCTTGTTCTAATATTATAATCTTACTAAAACAGTAATTCAGAATTATGAGACTTAATTATAATTTGTCTTTTTGAATGGTAGAAGGATTGTGCATTGAACTTCATTAAGTGGCTGACCCTGATTTTTAATTTGCAGCTCTGAGAATATAGAACACGCACATCTCTACTTTTTTCATTGTAAACTCGTCTCAGACCTAACTCAGCAGTGCAGAAGAACACTGATGGGTCAGCCATTGACCACGCTGAACATTCACGTGTTTGTTAAGACAATGAAAGCACCCCTGCTGGTATGTGTCGTTTTAATAGTGTGGATAACTTTGACTTAAAATGTATTAAATTTTTATTCACTGATGTGTTTCACTTAAATGAGTTATCTCTTTTTCCCACTGTCTTGCATATATTTATTTGATTATGTGAAGTTTAGGAGTAGTTCTCATTAAAGACAGAGTAGATGATAGACTCTTCTTAAAGTGATACTTTAATGCCTTGATTTATTGTCCCATAGCATTATATAAGCGAAATATTCTGTGGTAGTTAAAGGGACCTCTGGGACTCAATGAGTGCTCACAGATCACAGAGATCATTATTGTAGTTGAGAAGAGATCTCTTATACTTGTTTTGATCATTGTTTTAAAACTTGATATATATTACTGTTTTTTCAAATGAATTTTATTTCAAAGAGGAAAAAAAAAATAAAACAGAATTTCATCAATCAGGGGCAGCAATGGTACATACATGGTGCATTGTCATCCCCAAATCATTTACCCAGAGCACAAGACATCTGCATTCAATTGTCTGAACAATACCAGCACAAACTTACCTCTTCAGTGAACTCAGAGAAATCAGTAGTATAACTATCTTAACTATTTTTATATATGTATGTATGTATCCATATCCATATACATATGTTGTTTCTTTTAGCTTGTCACACTAGTGATACAATATGATGTTCACCTGTGTGTCTTACTTATTTCACTATGAGTAAGGTCTCAAGTTGTGTCCATTTATCTGTAAAAGTCTCCAGTTTATCTTTCTTTATGGCTGAGTAGTACCCCATTGTATAAAAATACCATATCTTTTTTTTATCTATTCCTCAGTAGATAGGCATTTAGATAGGCATTTCCAAGATCTAGCTATTACAAATTGTGCTGCTATAAACATGGGTGCACATATATTGCTGTGGTGTGATGTTTTTAATTCTTCTGGGAAAATACCCAGAAGAGAAGAGCCGGGTCAAATGGGACCTCTAATCCTAGTTTTTTTGAGGAATCTGCATACTGATTTCCACAGTGGTTGCACCAGTCTACACTCCAACCAACAGTAGAGTATAGATTCCCCTACCCCTCCAGCATTTGTTACTAGTTGATTTCTTGATAATAGTCATTCTTTCTGGAGTGAGGTTGAATTTCAGTGTTGGTTTAATTTGCATCTCTTGAGTGAACAGTGATGTTGAACATTTTTTCATTTGTTTATTTGTTGTTCGTATTTCTTCATTTGAGAAGTGTGTCTCATCCCAGATGCTCATTTTTGGATTAGGTCTTTAAATGTGGGAGGACTGATTTTCTTTTGAGTTCTTTATACGTTCTTGATAGTAATCATTTGTTTGAGGTAAAACTGGTGAACATTTTGTCCCACATTATGGGTTGTCTCTTCACTCTGTTAGTGGTTTCTCTTGCTGTGCAGAAGCTTTTTAACAGAATGTCTTTGTGACAGTCCCTGTGTAATCGGGGTTTTGTTTATAAAGTTTTTGCCTACACCAGTGTCTTCAAGAGTTTTACTACACTATCTTCCAGCAGATTTAATGTTTCTGTTTTAATATTAAGATCTTATGATTTAGATTTGATTTTAACTTAGTGCCTGGTGAAAGATATTGGTCCGTTTTTTTTTAAAATTTTATTTAATGAGAAAAAGGAAAAAAAGCAGAAAAACGGTACAAGTTATACAGAATTTCAGAAAAAAATAAACAGTAGGAAATCACTAGTTAATGGATCACATATTGTCATCTTAGAAATAGTTGTTCAAGTTACAAAAATAAAGCATATAAAGTGGACATTCAAACAGTGAGACTGCAAACAGTTCTGTTCAATGATCCAACAAAACTCAGTAATATCATTGTCTATCTTATACACTTAAATATACATGCAGTTATATCATTTAGAGCACTTTCTTTTCCTCTCTTTTGTACAATGACTATTACACATTTTGGGTTTTATTGCTCCCACAGTTCTTATTACTTTTTTTGGAAGAGAGTAAAACCAAATGTGACATAAAAAAACACAGTCGTGTAAATCAAAAGGGTAGACATAATAGATAATGTAAAAACATAATACAAGGTGATCAACAATGGTTACCATAATGCCTTCCGCTATCTCAAATAGAATTGCCTATATCATCAGTTATAATAAAATTGAACAAAACAGTAAAGAATGAAACCAACAAAACCAAAACATTGGAGACATTACAGGTCTTCAAAAGTAGATAATAGTCAACCAGAATGGGCGTCATAATGAATCCCACTATCTTCACAGCTGTTGCCTAAACTTTCGAACCTGTACTATCAAGCAAAACAGAATAGAGGAACATCAGTCAAAACAAGATGGTAAGAGCAATACAGGGCTTCAAATCAAGTTAATAGAAAATCAAAGTGTATATATAATATATAATAATATATCCTGCTATTTTTTATTTATTTTCCCTTAATTAAAAGGATAAAAATAAAGAAGTAAATAATAAAATGGAAATTGAGATAAAAGAGGGCATAACAACAAAACAGCACAGATCAAAACATAACCATTTAAGCAAAATAGTGTTTCACCACAAGATAATCCCAACATAAAAGTAGTTACCATATTGTCTCTTTCCTTGAAATCTTTGAGTATAACTTCGTATACTGTAGCATCAAATATATCAAAACAGTGTAACACCATTCAAGAGAATGACCGTACTACAGGGTATTTAGAATCAACTAACAGAAAATGAACAATGGTTTCTGTATAATCTCCTTGTCTATAAAAGTTTTTGTTTATACTATCACATATAATAAAATCCAATAAGATACAACATGTTAAGACCTATGGAGACAGAAGAACAAAAGCTTAATGGGACTTCAAAACAAGATGATACTAAATCAGCATTACCTATTATGACGTCGTTTTCTTTAAAGTAGCTGTTCCTATCATCCAATCTTCTCTGCCTCATTTCTGTTGAGCTCTTTTTCTGTCATTAGTTGTCAGTTTGTCTTCTTCATTTTGTTTTCTGCTCCATTCATTGTGGCCTCTCTGCCACTATTTCTGGATTCTTCGTATTTTTCTTTTTTAGAATATCCTGCAGTATTCTCTGTAGAGTTGAATTGGTGGTTGCATATTCCTCTAGTTTCTCTTTATCCTGAAAGCACCTTGTTTTTCCATCAATTTTCAGGGATAGTTGTGCAGGATATATCAATCTTGGCTGGAGGTTATTATCTTTCACAACTTGAATTATTTCCCCCCACGCTCTTCGTGATTTGATGGTTTGTGCTGAGAAGTCTGCTGTAATTCTGATTGGTGTTCCCTTGTAAGTGATCTGTTTCTTGTCTCTGACAGTTTTAATATTCTGTTCTTGTATTGGATTTCTGGAATTTTGATTATTATATGCCTGGGTGTAGCTCTGTTTGGGTTGTAGGTGGCTGGGGTCCTGTATGCCTCATACATCTGAGTATCTTTACCTTTTCCTAAATTAGGAAAATTCTCCTGGATTATTTCTGTGGGTAGCTTTTGTAGTTCATTTGTTTGTGTCCCTACCTCTTCTTTTATGTTCTTAATTCTTAAGTTATAGATCCTCTTATCATCTTCTAGTCTTTGTATTATTGCTGTTTGTTTCTTTTTTATTTTTAGGAAGTTTTTCATTTCATGCTCCTACCTTACAAATCTGCCCTCCAGTTCAGATAATCTATCCTTAGTTTCTTTCAAGCTGTTATGCCAGTTTCTGGTAGAGTTTTTAGTTTCCTGGTAATCTCTTTGAGCCTGCTTCACATATTCTATGTTTTCTCTATTTTCTCCATCACACAATTCTCCCCTCTTTTTCTGTTCTTCCATTCCACCATCTGCTTTTTCTTGGGTGGTGCTTAGCATTTCTCTAACTATTCTGCTTGTGTCTTGCTTCAGGTCATTAATAACTTCATTCCTGAACTCATCTATGAGGCTCTGGAGATAGCGCTTTATGTCTATTGGTGCTGTGTCTGCTATTGCCTGTTTCTCAGGATTGGGGGCCAAGGAGCCTTTCTCGTTGCTCCCTCTTCCCATATTCTTTGTTCCTTATATATGCAAGTGTATATAGGAAGCCCAGCTTCCTTCCCTGTTGGCCACAGTCTGATTGAATTGCGCCGGCTAGGTGTTCCCTCCCACTGCAGCGCACGAGGGAGTTACGGACCGGGCAGCCTATGCAGGGCCTGCCCCTCCAGGTCAACCTACTGAAAGGCTTCACTGCTAGGGTGCACCTCTAGGCGCTGGGACCTGGGTTGTGCTAGCCTACTGGGTCTCAGCCAGCACTGCTCACCAACCCCGCTTGAGAGGGGGATATGTGACTGAAGTCACTACAGTGCCCTGTTCTGGCAAGTCTGCCTGGTCCCAGAATGTCCTCTGTTGGAGCCTCCTAGATTGTGGAAGAGTCCCAGTTTCCCTCACTCACTGCAGGTCGATGCACGGCTCCCCGCCCATCCCGCTCTGAACTCTGTTCACCGATTCCCGTTCTCAGAGCTTTCACACGTCTCTCTCCCTGCTGAGCAAATTGAGATGCCACAGTGGCGGCAGGAAACCCAATTCGTGGCTTCCAATGGTGCGGGCTCCAGCTTCCACACTGAGGCTTTATCTGTTCCTGTTATAGCACCAGGATTGCATTCCCAGTTGGTTTCTCTCAGCCCAGTTCATTCTTGGGTCAGCAGGGTATATCTCCTCTTGCTTAGGATTCCTCACTCCGCACCATTCCTGGATTCTAAGCTGGGTCTCGCAGAGAGCCTCTTTAGCTGCTGCTACCTGTCCGCCATGTTCACCCGGAAGTCTATCGGTCCGTTTTTAATCCTTGGCATGTACAGAGCCAGTTTTCCCAGCACCATTTACTAAAGAGGCTGTCTTTCTTCCAGTGAATGTATTTGGCATCTTTGTCAAAGGTAAGATGGCTTAGTGTGTCTGGAGTTGTTTCTGCATCTTCTAATCTGTTTCATTGATCTTCAAGTCTGTTTTTTATTTATTTATTTTTTTGCCAGTACCACGTTTGTGTGTGTGTGTGTGTGTGTGTGTGTTTATTACAGTAG